TTGGGCATTCGAGGTGCATTATTGAATAGGCATCATACCCTAGTGTCTTGTAATGCATCCAGCTGAAAATTAGTGTCTCAATGTCACTTGCTCTTCTAGCAGAAAGTGTGTATCACTGATCAGGTAGCCAGATATGAACTTGAACTGAATACACATTTACATATAAGCAGTCCTGTGAGCTTATCTATTGTTTGACTGTGGGAATACCAAGACAAGTTACTTGCAATCATATGAATCAGTATTTTGGAAGAAAACCATGTTGGTGCTGTTACTATGGTTGGGCTGTGGAGAACCATCATCTAATGTCAGCAGTGATGTAGTTTTCCATTCTGTTCAGTGCTCCATTCTTTCCTCCTGTGCCTCACACTTGGTCTGCAGCTCCCAAATTTCAGAAGGATGTGGTGCTATCTGGGTAGATATCATTGTGCCTGCTTATTGTAGGATGGGTTTTGTCATTTTTTATAACCATGCCCAGCACCCCAATCTCATTTCACATAACTATATCTCTGATTGTCAGCATTAGCCTTCTATCTGTCATAATCTCTGCTGATAGCATTACAAGAGAGCACATCTTGGAAAACCACAATGCTTTCCCTGCCTACCTATTGCATCACACATAGCCTGTTCAAATATGCTTCTAATCCTGCTTATGTTCCTGACTCCTTTGCTCTTGGTAATCCTGTTCTTAAATTACCTAACAGCCTAAGCTTTACTAACTCCTCACACCACTGCCAAGCAACTGCTTATTCCTGGCAAAAATATTAGGATTTCTTTACTTATTAATACTAATGCATACTTGACTAATAGGACCTCATCTCTTTTGTCATTGATAGCTGATGCCAAGTGTTCCAATATGATACCATATGATATTTTCTCCCTGAGGAAAAGCAGAGTTGTGAGTACAAATATTACTAGTATGCCTATTCCCAACATATAGATGATCAGCAAGGTCTCTAGCTGAACTCTTAGGAGCATACAACCTAGGCTCAAGGCATGTGCGTGCCAGTTAGTTGTGTGTGAGTGTTGGGCTTGCCTCCAAAAGGTTACCACTAACTACCACATGTGCCACAGATGGATGTGTGAAGTGCTGCATGTGTCACATACCACTGTCACCTTTGGTGTTTCATTGTTCTTTATTTACAACATGTGCTCAGTGTGTTCCCAGTTACACATTTTTCTTTTCAGCATGCCACATTCTTTTTCCTTGCTGTTGCTAAGTGATTGACTTCAAAAACAATTCTTGTGGTGAAGTGCAAAGAGCATTGCAGCATGCTCTCCTGATTTGTTTGGCTTCATCTTTTTTTGCCAGAAGCTATCACTAAACACTCAAAATCCCTGTAAAATTCTTCATTGGTGTAGGTCTTTGTACTATACAGTATTAATGTGTGTTACAATCAGCACATGGTCATGGAAGCTGTCTTATGGTGGTGGTAACTGGTAATATTCATTGTGTTATAGCAAAACACAGAGTTCTAGTGGCTATGTGACCGGTCTCAAGATTTCCTGGTATCAAAAATCTGCTTTCCAAAGCAGAATTTTTGGCATACTGTGGAAAAAATAGTACTCTTAGTTGACCAGATTCCCTTAAAATCTACCATTTTGTGAAAGGCCATTGGGTATTAGTATCAGAACTATTACCTTTGTCTAACTGTCTGAGATGTTTTGATTAATATGTTGGAAAGCCATTGGTTATGATACAGTGATACTGGACATACAATGCAAGGTGAATTTGAATAAGGTGGAACTGTGCATAAGTAATGGCAGAATGGTATCATTTATTTTATTGTGTGTGTTTAGTATAGAAGTATGTGTAGAATTATGAGAGTATTAAAGTATGTGATGTGTTTTACAGTATTTTGAACCAATTCTGTATTCATCTTTTACTGGGACAATGTCAAAATATTCCACCATAGCTTCCTCTAGAGTGACTGAGTGGAACAAGAACTGTCATGCATGTTGTGCATAGACTTTCATGTCACATAAAATCTTTCCCATCAGAATTCCATTCCATGGTAAAATGAGACACATGGCAAGGTTGTAATACAATGTGAGCTAATAAAACACTCCCATATGCCTACATCTGCAGAATGTGAATGCTCTTGTTCAGTGTATAAAACATTCCAAACTGGCTGGAGGAATGCACCAGAATACACCACACATGCACACACTGTGAATGTAGATCTGATGCATGATTTGCTGGGAGTGTAATATTTCTGGTCTTGTCTTTGGGGCCAAGCCTTAATGGTATATTTTGATTTGTCAGCAGACTTAACCATTTAGATGCAAGCAACATATTTGGTCACTCCAGCACTGTCATCACATGTGCAGAAACTGCATTGCATTTCTTTTGTGCTGCATTTGCCATGCATATTATCTGACCATATATTTAGTTTTTCCTGTGGGTTAGTTTAACTTTTCCCTGGAATTTGCTCATACCACTTTCTTGACCAGAGACATTTTGTGCCAGAATGTTGCTTCAGTGATGGTACATCTCTTGGAATATCTCATCATATTAGGCACAGGCCCTGTACAGTGACTGAGCTGAGGAAGTAAATGGGATGTCTTGTGGCACCCTGGGGCTTAAGAGTTTGAACAAAAATTGTATGATCTTGTCAAACTGGTCAGATTTTGTGTGTGTACTCAAGCATTTTTGTGATGTGTTAGCCGAAATGTAGGCTTTACAGGAGTTAAGTATGCATTATTGATGCTTGCATGATTTAAGTGCTGCTAGGGCTGAAGTCACATTGTAAAAGTTCCATTATTAAGATCATTCAAGATTTGTTGAAGATGAAAGGCTGCTATTTGAGTTGGCATATTACTTAGTTTCTGAGAAAAATACTAATTCAGGAGGAGTTTTGGTCGGCATAATTACTTTAAGATTATCAGTTATTGATAGCAGTGTGGACCAGCGTTGGAAATTCTAAAAATGTCTTGGTAATGGAGTACAGATTTTCTATAGTGGAGTACAAAATATCCAAGTGCTGTGGGTCATTAGGATTTTTTGGGCTATATTTGAGAGATACAGTACAATGGGTGGTACCCAACAAAAACGCCACTTTTCATATACAGCAATTCATGTAAAAACACTTAAAGTGAAAGGAAACATCAGTATTGAACATGACACACTGAAACAACACGGTCTCAGTCTCTGTACTACAGAGCACGGGTGCACATATATGGGTTTGAGTTTATGAAAGACTGTGTATTCACCCTCCAAAATGGTGGCTGGTTATGCACCAGGCTTATACACACTCCAAGATGGAAGGTGGCTATGCGCCAGGCCTACGCGCCTTCCAACATGGAAGGTGGCTGCGATACGCACAGCCAGGGAAAAATGATACACAAAAAATATTAATGAATGTGCCACAGATGGCTACCTACTTGTGCTCCGCCACTATCACGCTACTCACGCCCCACCTGCTAACTAGTTTTAAAAATGGCTAAACACTCATGCCCTCTATGTCCCGGACAACGCACAAAGCCCGCACGCCCCAGCCAAATAAAAGAGACAGGCAGCACTCTCAACCGAACCGAACCAGTGCAAGTACAGTGCCTGACAGACCCCTGTAAGCCGGCCATAAGTGAGCAGAGTTAGTCACCCTGCTGACTTTGGCAAATAGTGTATTATATTTATGGATTTTGATGTGCTTTAACCCATATCATTGAGAAATATGAAAGTTAATGTTGCAGTTCACTGATGTTTTTTTCCTAATAAACCCTTCCACTTAATTTGCCAGGCCAAAGTCATGGGTTCATGTTACTCTGGTGTCCTGATGTCTGCTTGAGCGAGATGGCTGTCTCCGAGCAGTTTTGTGGCTATTTAAATTAATGTGTTTTGACTTTAAAGGAAATTTTTGTGAAGCCTGGGTGACCATCTTTAATTTCACACCCTTAAGTGACAAATTTGATTTGATTGAAATCCTCAGCTGCCATAACATTTTTGTATTCCAGATACCAGGAAGTGGCCAAAAATCCAACTATGGGGTGGTTCTGGATGAGTACTAATAAGTCCTTTGTCATAATCGTGATGCCCATCTTCAGACAGCTTTCCTCCAAATGTTTACCAATCTGTTCAAGGCACGAGCACGAGCAGAATATCTATGCTCTTGACAATTCAGTCAGGAGGAGGCGAATCATTAAAACCAATTGGAGAGTTTTGCCATGGTCAACCTCCAACCTGAGCTGGGGGGCGTGCGCAAGCCGCAAAATAGAGACGTTTCCGACGCTGAATTGCGAGTGATTCTCTTATTTGCATGGCCATGACACAGTGGTGGCGTGTGAGTAGGCGGCCATCTGTGGTAGGTGCTTTGTTGTGTGGTTTTCTGTTACCGTTCATTGCATCCTTGGCAATTAATGCGGTTCATCGTCAATGGTAGGTTAAGTCATGTTCAAGTTTGAGTTTGTCTGCGTAGGGGGTGATAGTGAGAGCTTCGCTTATCTTCAGATGGGTATTCTGCTACCCGTTTCTCATTTCCCGGTATTGTTCAAAGGCAATTCCATTCAACATTCACACACTTTATTTTTCACATTTCCATGCATGATTTATTATATACCTAGGGGGCAACACAGGCTGCTTGCTATTGGGCATCTTGGTCTGGTAGGTGCAAGATTTGTGCTATTACAGATAGCAATACATGGCTCATGATGGAAGCAGCAAGTCTCAAGCTGTGACACCTTCTGGTTTAATTTTGTCCTGAAACAGAGAGATGCAATGAGTTTATCCAGAAGCTGTTTTGTCACGTCATGATGGAGTACAAAATATTTCATTTTACTGAGTCATAAGCCAGGAGTACAAAATCTCCTGGTTTGCATTATACCAGGAGACGTCAAGCTTTCCAACACTGGTGTGAGCCGCATGTGAAGACGTTGGCCCTGTATGCGTGCTGGCCGAGCCGGTCCGGTAGAGGTGTGGTCACGCGGCGGCTGCGGGGACGGATCTGACCGTGGAGCGTCTGACCGGACGGCGGCGTGCGCACACAGACGAGCCGGCCGCCGCCCGCCATGGACCGGGCGCGCGCACAGGAGTGGGAGAAGCTCCGCAGCACCATCGCCCAGTGGAACGACAACCGGCTTGACCTGTTCGAGCTCTCCGAGCCCGACGAGCATCTCAACTTCCATGGCGTCATGCGGTGAGCTGAGGGCCGACCGACCGGGCCGGATGGCTGAGCACGGCTGAGGGGTGTCGTGTAGGCCTCGTGACAGGGAGTGCGGCCAACGCCGGCCCCTTCTTGGCCTCCCGAGGTATTGCGGCCTGTGGTGAATGCGGCGACGCTCTCCGGCGCACGAACCCGTCTTCCCGTCAGTCAGTCAGGGTGTCCTTGATGCCTCGCGCATATGCAGGGGCCAAGTTAAACTCATTATACCGACTGTGTTGCTGGAAGGCTTCTTCGCTTTGAGTCGTCTTGTCCATTTTGCCGGTCTTGCGAGAGCAGTGTGGCTGTTTGGAGACGAGTTTCGTCTTGGCTGCAGGTTTTACTACCAGGACTCCGGACAGAAGGTGTCCACCAAGTGCATCCGCGTGTCTTCGGACGCCACGTCGGTGGACGTCATCGACACCCTGATCGAGAAGTTCCGGCCCGACATGCGCATGCTCTCCACCCCGCGCTTCGCCCTCTACGAGATCCACGAGAGCGGCGGTAGGAGGAGCGCACGTCTGTGACGTCATCAGTGCCGGCGCTGGGTATCGGGACATTGCGGGGTCGGGTTTGTTGATATTTGATAGGCATCATCTATGGAGCCTCTCTTTGTCTGATTGTGGCACTTGACATGCCTCTTGTCGTTAGTGCGTTCAAGTAAGCTCAGTAAATATTGGCCTATCAGAAGTGGACACGCCCGCTAATGTGTCAATGTCCCCTGAGCCACCTGGTCCACAGGGGCCCCCTTGCTTTCCTTTGAATTCCTCTCACTTTCCCACTTTCGACAACCGCCAACCCACCGTTGTGCCGGCCGTGGCTGGTGAGGGTGGGGGTGGCGAGCCGGGACTGAGCGGGTGCCGGCCGTGGCTGGTGAGGGTGGGGGTGGCGAGCCGGGACTGAGCGGGTGGCGAGCCGGGACTGAGCGGGTGGCGAGCCGGGACTGAGCGGGTGGCGAGCCGGGACTGAGCGGGTGGCGAGCCGGGACTGAGCGGGCGGGTGCGAGCCGGGACTGAGCGGGTGGCGAGCCGGGACTGAGCGGGTGCCGGCCGTGGCTGGTGAGGGTGGCGAGCCGGGACTGAGCGGGTGGCGAGCCGGGACTGAGCGGGTGGCGAGCCGGGACTGAGCGGGTGCCGGTCGTCCCGCAGAGGAGCGCGAACTGGCCATGAACGAGCGGCCGCTGCACGTGCAGCTCAACTGGCACCAGGACGACCGCGAGGGCCGCTTCCTGCTGCGCAACCTCAACGACAAGCCCTGGGTGAGTGCCGACGGCTGGGCGGGCGTGGAGAGGGGCCGGGTCGGCACCGGGATCGGGTAGCGTCGGTCCGGCGGTTGTGTGGGTAAGAGTTGGCCGGGGCGCGGCTGCCGTGAAGAGGGGCCGGGTCGGCACCGGGATCGGGTAGCGTCGGTCCGGCGGTTGTGTGGGTAAGAGTTGGCCGAGGCGCGGCTGGCGTGGAGAGGTGCCGGGTCTGTACCGGGATCGGGTAGCGTCGGTCCGGCGGTTGTGTGGGTAAGAGTTGGCCGGGGCGCGGCTGCCGTGAAGAGGGGCCGGGTCGGCACCGGGATCGGGTAGCGTCGGTCCGGCGGCACGTGTCGGTAAGAGTTGGCCGAGGCGCGGCTGGCGTGGAGAGGTGCCGGGTCTGTACCGGGATCGGGTAGCGTCGGTCCGGCGGTTGTGTGGGTAAGAGTTGGCCGAGGCGCGGCTGGCGTGGCGTTCGAACCGGAACGGACCGGGACGGGCTGTGTGGATAGGTCTGGGCACTACAGCAGTGCTTCGTTGAGACAGACTCACCTAACGTCCAGGAGACGTGGGGTTCGAGGGTTCGTAGAGGGTGCCTGGCCTCATATTTGCACTGGCCGGATATCACTGCCTGGCCACTATATATATATATATATATATATATATATATATATATATATATATATATATATATATATATATATATATATATGTGTGTGTGTGTATGTGTGTGTATGTGTATGTGTATGTATGCACAAGTTCAACTTATGTATAGAACTTAAAGTTGTAGATAATATATTTAATTTTTGTCATTCAATGGCAAATGTGTATTTACTGACATGTTATCAACAGAAGCCATTCGATTGCTTTTGTCACGTGAGTGCACCATAAATTTATTGATGCTGGCAAATGCATGAACACGACTAGCGAACGCCCAGAGCGTCACCGCGCAACCGGCACTCGTTCAATCGTACGGCGTGCCCTGAAATATTGCTCCAGGTGGCCCAGCACGTCCATCACCCTGAGGGATGCAAGCAATTTGTCGTTGTTAATGACTTCGAACAGCGTAACTGACGGGGAGATTGAGTTCACATTAAATCGACGAAACCAGAAACCACTCGACAAGAAACCGGCCCGTCAACTTCTTATCGAAATCAAATGTCTCCGCCATCTCCGTCAAGGTGGACGAAAAAGTTTCGCAGGGCATCATTAGGACAAATATTGCGCCGACTGACGAAGACACTAAAATAAGACTAACCATCTATTACAAGAGCAGAATAACTACTAGCCTTGCAATGAAAAACAGTCTGACATGACCAAAACCAACTAAAGCTCACCAATATACAGGGCGTCCCGAAATTCATGCGCGGTTGTATCGTTCTCACTAACAGAGAAAATAATTGAGACCGGTTTATTATGTATCGTCATTGTAATCCCCCACGCAGTCGTATACACTGCCGCATGCGCTCCGGCATGCCGCACATGAGGTTGTCGAGAGTCTCTGCTTTGACCCTCCGCCACGCCGCTTGCACGTTTTGGAGCAGGATCTTCTGTGAAGTGGCCGGCGACATCTTGCTGAGTTCCTCCTTGACAATCGCCCAGAGATAATCGATCGGCGACATGTCGGGGCTGTTGCCTGGCCACGTACTTTTCTCCCAGAAGCTCGGGAAGTTGGTGCGGCACCAGTGCTGGGTTTTCCTGGCGTGATGAGCTGCAGCACCGTCCTGCTGGAACATCGCCCGGGACATGTCTGGCAGGAATTTAGCCTTGGTTGGCGGGTCATTCTCCTTCCTGTGCTGCACCGCCGAGGCTGCAGTCTTCTCCAGCACCTCTCTGACGTAGTCGTCGGCGGTGACCGTCTTCTCGTGCGGGACCTAGTGCAGCTCAGAGAGGCCTCCGTAGCTCATCATGCCCCAGACAAAAATCTTTAGCGGCTGCTTTACCGTCTCGGCGATCGGCACCTCCGAGCTGTTGTTGGCTCAGACCCGGTCGTTCTGGCTGTTCGGGGCTTGGAAGAGCTCGAATGGCGACTTGTCACTGAACAGGACGCGTCTCCGGTCCTGAACGGACCAGTTCTTGCGGGCCTTTGTGAATTCCAGCCACTTGCGCTTCTGGTCCACGGTAAGCCTTGGCTGCAACCTGAGCTTGAGCGGCTTCATTTGCAGACTGGTCTTCAGATACCGGTGTACGGCCGACTGGGAGGCTGGGTGCTTCTCTGCCGTCACTTCTCTCGCCAGGGTTCTCGTTAAGTGGCGCCTTTTGAAGGCCGACTTTGCAGTGACGATCTTCGCCATTCGGCTCAACCTGTGCGACTTTCGAGCGTCTCCTGAGCAGTCGTGGGCCAGCCAGCGCCTAATCGGCGCTACGTTGACGCCCAAGTCCCTGGCGGCCTGAACCTGGGTCATGCCGCCCTTGACTATCCCAACCTCGCGGTAGGGGATCGATGGCTGTGCTCTTTCACCACTGGCGACACGTGGACTCGACGCGTTGGCTATCTCGAAGGGAGCGACCTCTCCCGCCCGCTACCGGCTGAGGTCAGGTCAGCCGCTAGGGTCATGTGATCGCCTGACACGGTGGGATGCCCTGGGGCCGAGCGCGGTACAATTTCACCCACCCAGCGTTCTGGAGAGGGGAAATAATAGGCAGCACCGACCGCGCATCAATTTCGGGGCGCCCTGTAGTGTATGAATTTAAATGTCCACACGGGGACTGCCGGTACCGCAACCAGTCCTATATTGGAATGGCCAAAACATTCCTGTCACGACGCGTGAGTGCGCCTGCAGGAGCGAGCGCCAGGCCGACATTTGCGCCAAACCCACAATCAATAACTTCCATGCTCTGACCTGACTGAAAACACTTGTTAGAAAATCAGGTCCAAACAAGCGCCCTCTACAAGTTCCCGAAACTATCCTCATCAAGGAAAGAATGCAGCATTTAAGCAAACAGCTTAGGTCATGCATCACTGGACCTATTCAGTCACCCAATGGTAGCAGGGTAATTACTTTCCATGGTGTCCACCTGGATGAAAAAGTGATGTGCGTATGCTTTTATGCGTATTGTTGTTTGGCCACATAGTCGGACATTATATATATATATATATATATATATATATATATATATATATATATATCAGATATGAAGTTGTGATGATGTTGCATCCCATTTGTGATGTGTGAATGCGAGCATGCATTAAGGAACTGAATGTATGGTAGCTGCATGTGTCCAATATTATTTTCCTTGCTTTAGTCCCTGAGACCACCCGGTGAATCAACACTAGATGAAGGCAATTTTAAGCGGAAACTTAGTAAGCGGGAAAAGAAAGAAATGAAGAAGAAAGGGAAACTACATAAGATGAAGAGCAGTAATGAAAATGATTCCAGCGTCGCTGAAAAACTGTACACAGGTACGTCTGGGTTATCGAGCGTTTTTCCACAACAGAAATATGATTTGCAACCTCTCAATTGCGTTCTGAATTACAGTTTACACCTGTTTTGTTCCATGTAGTTCTAAATCACGTTTTTCTTGCAGATGACGAGGGGGTGTATCTGGCGTGAGTGGCACTGTGCCCAGATAATGATCATGACGCATTGGACCAGGCTATGCATGTTTGTTACAAGTATGCTTGTCAAATGTAGCCACTGTGTGATGCTTTATCATGCAGACTGCTTGTGTTGTGTCTTGGCTTTGGTAAGCATAATCCAAGTTTTTTGGATGAACTAGCATGTATCCACCATTCCTTTTCCATCCTGCGTAGTTATTTTCTCTCTCGCCAGCTCACCATGTATATTCACATCGTGTTCAGGGCCTGTTGTATCCGGCTGAATGGCGTGACCGATCCCGAGCTGTTCAGTTTTTCTCCCCGTCCTGCGACTGTTGCCGAGGGGCGGTGCTCGGTTGGCTCGCTGCTGGTGTCGTATCGCATCCCCGTGCCCGACATGCACTGCGCCCGGCGCATGTGTTCTGCCGTCGGCGCCCACGTCACCCTTCCGTCGCCGACGGTCACTGCATCATGTGGGTGCCGTGTCGGGCGCGGCTGCGGGACCAGCGGGCACCCACGTCACCCTTCCGTCGCCGACGGTCACTGCATCATGTGGGTGCCGTGTCGGACTCGCGCTCGCGCCGGCCGCGGTCTCACGCCGCCGCTCACGCCGCGCCCTGCCACCGCAGAGCTGCCGGAGACGAGCTTCACGCGCTCCATCAGTAACCCGGAGGCGGTGATGCGGCGCCGCCGGCAGCAGAAGCTGGAGAAGAAGCTGCAGCAGTTCCGCAGCCGCGACGGCGGCCCCGACACGGGCGGCACGCTCAAGGTGAGCGGGCTGGCGCGGCCGGGGGCGGCGGGCGCGTCTCCGGCCGCCCGGCTCCCGGGCGTCCTCACGCTGGGCGGGCTGGCGCCGACCGGGGGCGGTGCGCGCGTCTCTGGCCGCCCGGCTCCCGGGCGTCCTCACGCTGGGCGGGCTGGCGCCGACCGGGGGCGGTGCGCGCGTCTCCGGCCGCCCGGCTCCCGGGCGTCCTCACGCTGGGCGGGCTGGCGCCGACCGGGGGCGGTGCGCGCGTCTCCGGCCGCTCGGCTCCGGGGCGTCCGCACGGTGGGCTCTGCGGCGTTCGCCGTTCTCTGGAGATAGCTACGCCTGCGCTGTGTCTCGCGGATTGGCTGTAGTTGATGGAGAGTGCTGGGCGGGACTGGCGTTGTCGGCCAAGTGGAGATGCCGTGCTTTTTGTCGGCTGTGTTTGTCAGTTGCGGAAGTGAGGTGTTCAGTCCGCCATTTAATGATCTCTCTGAAGGCATTTCACCGGCTTTTACTGTTGTTGATATAATGTTTCTGGCAGTGACAGAGAAAACACTCTATAGATTCTCTGACTCCTTGGTGCCGAACCACGGAATTTAAGCCTTGTCAACAACAGCCACCGAGTTTGCTTTGTGTAGTTCACCGATATATTCGACCCTGCGCCGGCTTTATTCGTGAACAGCAATGTTTCGGGCAGCACAAGTTACCACGTGATCGGCCTTTTTGTGTGGCAGCTTGCTGTGGGGAAGTTGTGACTTTACCTGTAGAGGGCATGCTGGCGGGCTCGTCAGATCTAGTTGGAAGACAGTCGATGTCTTCCCCCTGACGCGCGCAACGGCTAGTTGCCTATTGCTAGCACCAGTCAGGCGCTAACAATGACGTTCAGAGGAGTCTTGGCGCTGACAATGTTGAACTAGTTGGTTTGACGACAAAAAATGTATATATATATATATATATATATATATATATATATATATATACCGCCCTGATGACGCGTCCCTGTACAGATGTGTGGGCCGTCCGGCACATGTACGGCGAGAGGCTGGGCTGCCGATTCAACCACCACAGTATGGCCGGCGTGATACACCAGACGGGGGGCGTGTGCGGTGCCACGCCGCGGCGGTTCAGAGTGTGAACGCACGCCTCGCTCCCTCACCGTCACACCCCCGGCAGATATACGGCGAGAGTCTGTGCAGCGACGTGCCGTACAAGACGCTGCTGCTGTCGATCAACGACAGCGCCGCCTCGGTGGTGGTCGAGATGCTGCAGAAGTACGGCAAGTACCGCGAGGACCCCGCTGACTACTGCCTCGTGCAGGTGGGTCGGCCGTCCGCCTCCGGCCGCGCAGCGGCGGCGGCTGGCGGCCTGTCGGCGCCGCCGACCGCGAGCGCTGCTCCCGGAGACGGCAGTGGAGCACCGGTCCGCGCCCGGCTGGTCTGTGTCCAGCCGTGTATGGCCCGCAGCCAGTCGCGACTTGCGTCGCGTGGGTATGTCTTTTGCGGGGTGACGGCAAGGTATCGCTGTTGTCACACTGGACACGCCGAACAAATCGTTGCTGGTTTTTGGATGTGTGATTGGTGTGTTAGATTTACGACACCTTTGTGTAAACATGCTGAACTTGGTCGTCGGGCGGTACTGTGGCGTCCTGTTTGTAAGCGTGACGGTGTGTACGCGGCGGGTATTGCCCCTCATCCCCCCCCCCCCCCCCCCCCCCCCAGCACCGCAGAACTCCTAGTTTGGCGCGAACAATTCGAGAAGTTGAGATTACTCATCGTGACTTATCAAGTATATTTAAAGCACGCAGGCATGCATTGAGACCGAATTTCATTTATGAAATGCTTGTATTGAAAACAAACTCAAAATTTCTTGGGTGCGTCACTTGATCTTGTCAGCCATGTTTTATCACCTGAGGGTATCAGCCATATATTATCACCGAGGATATCAGCGGTGTTTTATCACCTGATCCTAGCCTTGTGTTATCACCCGAAGATGTCAGCTGTGGATTATCATCGGATCATATCAGCTATGCGTTATCACCTGATTATATCAGTTGCGTGCTATCGCCTGAGGATATCAGCCGTATGTTATCACCTGATCATATGAGTCATGTGTTGTCACCTGATCTCGTCAACCTGACGATGTCAGATCACCGAGATCACAAGATCACCTGAGGATATGAGTCGTGTGTTATCGCCCGAGGATGTCAGCGGTATATTATTACCTGTCCATACCAACTGTGTTATCACCTGATCTTATCAGCCACGTGTTATCAGCTGCGAGTCTCAGCCATGTGTTATCATCCGAGTGTATGAGCAGCGTGTTCGGGCGGCAGGTGGTGACGCAGGAGCCGCAGCAGGAGAGCCGCGAGTACCGGGCGCCCACCGGCCCCTTCAACGAGTACATCCTGGAGGACGACGAGTGTCCACTGGCCATCCTCATCAGTCACCCGCCGACGCCCGGTCAGTGACGGTGCGCCGGCCTTTCCGTCGCGCCGGTCCGACCAGCGCCCCTCCTACGCCTGCGGGGCGGGACAGGGCTGGGTGGCGTATGTGCTGATAGAAGGGGAGAACTATATTGGCGTAGTCGTAGGCGGGACAGGGCTGGGTGGCGTATGTGCTGATAGAAGGGGAGAACTATATTGGCGTAGTCAATGTTTGCTAAATGGATGTCTGTTTATGGCATTAGTATTGTATTTGTCACGTATAGGATGGAGACTTCCCTGTCCATGGGTGTTTGTACAGTCGGCTTGACATACCGCAGATTCAGTATGATTTGATTGAGGACGTTTACAAATAATGACTTATTTTTGCCTGCAAACTACCTTTCGTCGTCAGCTGATTGTCGGTTGTGTTCCTGTGACATGCGATGTCTTGCGGGGTGCTAGCGACGCCCCGTTATTACCGCATGAAATAAGTGTGCGGAATCGTTCGCATTTCAAGTTAAGGGTTATAGCTCAGTCAAACATTGTTCACCGGGTATGACGTGGCAGGTAAGGTGTTTTCGAGATGCGCACTAGGTGGGTAAAGCCCAAGGTGCCTTCCAGTTATTCCACCCGAGGCGGGCATTATCCATGTTTTTCAGTCATCAGTCAAACTTGAGCCCTATTTTGCGCTTAGGACAGATGACATTTTCTTTTCGTGCCGCTGAAGCTCTGCTGATTGCTCTCGGTTGATGCAAGCACGCACATTATCCGGTAGCTGGGTTTGTGTTCCAGGGACTCAACAACCCAGTACATCCTGTTGCGAGATATAATCTGCTGACTTTGATGGGGAAATCCAATACAGAGATCCGCCAATGTCTGCAGCATTGTTAGGCGAATCGGCCCGTTGGTTTCTGAACGGTGAAGTAAGCCGAGTCAGCTCGGTGGGAAGTCGTCCTAGGGGACCTTCTGGACCGGGTACGGGGGTTCCGCGATGGCGACTTCATGGACGGCGTTCTCTGTGAGATTGGCCGGGGGTTTGTGGTAGCAGGCCGTGTCTCGTGGGACTGAAAAGCAGCGGTGCTGCTGCCAATACTGCACGTGGTTTGGCGCGTGCATTGGCGGGACTGATCAGCATCGCTCGATCGCGTCCGCTGGCAGGCCGCTCTGATGAGATCGTCGGATTTAATCACGGTGTCGTCTCAGGCTGAGAGGTCTCTTGACTTGTGGGGTGCGGAGGTTCGATCAGCCGTCGGCGAATCGCCGCCTCAAGCTTCAGTATGTTGGCACGCCTAATATGCCGTTAGAGTCGGAGAACGGCCGTGTGTCGTCACCGCCAGCGTTATCGGCCGAACCCACGTGAACCGTTGTGTCGTCTGCTCCCTGCGAGGTGTTTAAAACTCGCCTGTGATCGACTGGAGTCGAGCCGTCTGGGCGCGCTGGGCTGTGGTGACCCCAGCGATGCGGCGCCGCCCGCCCGCCGCGGGCGCCGACCCCTGACCTCGTGCCGCTCACCCCTGGTCACCTGAGGTCACGCCGGGTCAGCAGAGGCCTGTCCACGACTGGCCCACGGCGGTTCTGGCAGCCCCGGCCGCGTCTGGCAGCCGCTGACAGCGTTTCCATTTAACTGTCCACCTCCAGTCAGCGGCGCTCGGAGGCGGGCGCAATCACTGTCCCGTCGAACGGAAAGCCGCTGGGTCGCTGACGGCCCGGCGGTGGAGTGGGGTCGCCCAGGCTGCTCCGCCGCGTACGTCCGCCAAGATTCGCCGACGCTGGGGATGTCTGTCGGCGAACCCTGTCCAATTCCGCACCGCTGCCCTCGGCCAGCGCGCCGGCTGCCACCGACGGCGCGTTCGCAGCTGTTGCCGGCCGGGCGAAAGGTCGCGGCCGCCCGACCCCAATGGGCGTGGCTGCTCTCTGGACACGGCCGACGCCTCTCGCGTTATCGGTGAGGGACGCTCGCACACTGAATCGGCGTCGGTCGCTGCGCGTCTCGGACTTCGAGCGGTGGTGACACCGGGCATGTAGGCCACGGGACTGCGGCCTGCCGGACAGATTCAGCTGGCGCCGGTCGCGTGGGCCCTGCGACCGACGTCCACGGTCAAAGCGTCGTCTCCCGACCGTCTGGCTGCGCCTCTGGGACTCGCAGCCGCCTCGTGGGCCGCCCGCCGCCGCTCTGGCAGACCCGCCCTTAGTCCGTCTTTCCAGGCGCGGCCGGGCTGGCGTGGTGCGTCGCCGCGGCGCGGCTGGTGCTGGCGGCCGGCCGTCACGCGTCTCCGAGCCCGGGCGGTCCGCGGGAGAGACGAGCTGATTCCGGGATCGACCCGGGGATCAGCTCGGCCGTCTCCGGCCGCGGCGCTGGCGTGCCCCGTCCGTGCGTGACCTGATTGCGACCGGCCGGGGCGGCTGTAACAGGCTCGTGGACGGCATCGGGGCGGGGGTCGTCTCAGGCCCGCTCGGTGATCAGCCGGGGTATCGACCGTCGCGCTGACAGGGTGGACACAACAGAGCCGTCCTGAAGAACAAAGCGGATAGCGTCGACTGCGCCGGCGGCCGTGCTAACAAAGGCACGGGCCTGCAGCCGTCGGCCGGCGTGGGGTGGCCGACATGCTGTTGGGAGCCAAACGCGACCCGTGCCGCGGGTCTGGGCGCGGGTGGCAGTCGCTCTCCGAATTAAGGCGGCGGTGCAGAACGCCGGCCGGCCGCGGCGTCCGGAACCGGATCGCAAGCGAAAGGGTAGCATGGTCCGTGGTCATATGATTCCATTCCTGCAAAATAATTTAGGGCCGGCCCTGTTCATGGTAACATCGACGGTTGGATCCATGTCCTATGTCAGGCATGCCGACTCATTCCATCAGACTACTGGTGCTTTTTTTGAGTGTAGCATGCTCAGAATGGAATTCCGGTTCCCTCAGACTGCAGTCTGGTGACGGCGGCCACCGCGCAGTCGCGCAGTGGCACCCAGAGAGGCGGTCCGCAGTGGCGCGCCGGGTTGGTACGCTAAAATCGTCGACGGTGGCCACCGTGCAGCCGCGCGGTGGCACCCAGAGAGGCGGTCCGCAGTGGCGCGCCGAGTTGGTACGCTAAAGTCGTCGTCGGCGCTCACCCCTGCGACCCCCGCGGCTCCGTCAGACGCCGGCCGGACTTGTGTGACGTCTGCTCGAACGCCTGCGGTCCGGTCTTCCTCTGTTGAGCTGCTGCTGCTGACTTTTCGCACGAGTGAGGTCTTCTCGCCGAGCTGAGCGGACCTCTCAGCCACGGTCCTCTGGGAGCGGGCCGTCGCCGGGGTCCGTCGAGCCGGACGGCGGTGCCTCAGAGCCCGCCGCGCCCTTGCCCCCCAGACTGCGCGTCGGCCGGCTGGGCGCGGCGCCGGCGGCCGGCGGCAGTGGTGCGCCGGCGGCACCGCCGGCCGGACACGCAGCCGGCGAGCGGTGTCTGGCGCGGCCGGCTCGCCTCTGCGGTCCTCTGTCCGGCGACGGCGCCGAACACGCCGGCGGCGCCATGGCGTTCGGTGAGTGCCCCCCCCCCCCTCCCCTGCCCCGCTGGCTAGCCGTGGAACCGGCCGCGGCGGCGGCTGGCGGGCTTTGGAGGTCCGCTGGGCGTGCAGGAGGAGGGTGGTGTCGACAGGGGTTCGGGAACAAAGTCAGTTAGCAGATTTGCAACGGAAAAATGCACGAGAAGGGACCGCACCTAAAATGAGTAATTGAGATACCAGCGCTCTGTGAATAGCCGGCATTAGCGCCTCCTTTGTAAATCGTCGCGCCGTTTGCCTTGGCGTTGCGACTTTACGGACTAACCGGCCCCATTAATATCGTCATCGTTTGGCGTTGTTTATCACTGGCGCCCCCGGCGGGCCGCACCAGAGGGGGAAGTGTGCCGCGATCAGGCACGGTTATCCGACTGCATGCGTAAACACGCGAAACTGACCCCGGATTCTCGTGCTTGACATTCGTCTTGGTCGCCCCGCACCGTCTCGTGCTTTATCAGATCGATCGCCCTTGCCTGGCCACATGCGAATGCATCGGTCCGCTCTAAACGGTTAGTCGGTCTCTGCTGAGGGTCGGGTCCGGCTTTGTGTGCCTGGCCTGTAGCCGCGCTACGGGTCAGAAACTGAGAACGGACAAACGGTGTTCAAGGCTTTTCCCCCATGCAACGACGTGGTCGAAATGCTAAATTCCGCAAAAGCTGGAAAACTTGTTTTGGGAGTTTGTTCTCGCGTCCCCCTGTCAGTTTGGTGTAGCCCATGAGCCTAGCTTGGCCCGACAGGTTCCCTCCGAACACAGTCTTAAGTGTGATCGATATGGGGGATAGCAATTTTGAATAGCGTACGTCACGCCATCAGATATGTGTTGGTGTAACAGGAGCGTGGGATCACGCCACAACGGTCGATGGATATTCGTAAATAATTCATTGATTTCCCGCATTAAACCTAGCTGGGCTTAACATTCGGAGGTGCGAGTCGTGTTTTTGGAATTGAATCATCATGCAGCGAAAGAAAATTATCTCAATTGATGCAAAACCATTTGCAGTTGACACTCTACAAAAAGCGAACGTCGTTGAGTGCAGAATCCAGCTGGACATGACTCGGGACAGGTCAGCTCTCCGGAGCATGCTACGCTCCATAAGCTTGGACTCAGGGCTTCCAGCTCTCGCCGGACGTATCAAAGCGTCATGAATCCGGCTGCTGAAAAGTGACCATGACACCGGCGCGGTGTGGAGGCCATTCAGGAAACCCCACCCTTTGAGTCCGTTATCGGGAGCGGTTGAATGCTAGAGCGGCCGAGAGCTCCGGGCCGGCCGGCATCGGACCATCGATTCGGGAGCTGTGTGTGCGGCAGCTCACGCTCCTTTATGGGCTGCGCCGGCCGCCGCCCCGCCCCGTCCGCGCCGCCCGCATCGGTCGGCCGGATGTGGCGCACAATGGTCGCGGCCGACGACTTTTCACGGAGCGGCGCTGTGGGCCCGACCCGTGTCGAGCCGGTGTGGAACGCGTCTGGGCGCCGGCGCGGTGGGTGGAACAGTATGAGGCCCGCGGACGGGGCCCCCTGAGCACACGGTCGCTTTGGTCGGACCGCTGCAGGGTTGGTGTTGGATGTCCAACGTCTCAAGCCAGCGGCTTGTGCGTGGTCTCTGTGTCGGTCGCTACCATTGAGACTCCCATCGTGTTGGTGTGTTGTTGGGCGCTTTTGTCGGTGGTGGCGTCTTCCCAGATAATGTTCTCTGATAGTTTTGAGCAGATCGTGTTCGATCAGGTTTTCATGCTGTTGCAGTGTCGTCCAGTTTCGCACCGTTTATACCATCATGTTGGCGAGTTTCTGGCGAGGTAGCATCTATCACTTGGTTTAAGTGTTCCTGTCCGGGATGTCAGGCCGCTGGTGTGATCCTGCGCAATGCCTCATTCCGCGGACAGCTGTCGCCCGTCCCCAGGGTCGAGTGCAGGGCCTGCCGCCGGCGGATACGGCGGCGATGTCACATGGTCCGATCCGCTCGGCTCCGTTCCGCTCGGCTCCGTTCCGCTCGGCTCCGCTCGGCTTTGCTCGGCTTTGCTCGGCTCGGCTCGGCTCGGCTCCGCTCGGCTCCGCTCGGCTCGGCTTGGCTCGGCTCGGCTCGGCTCGGCTCGGCTCGGCTCGGCTCGGCTCGGCTCGGCTCGGTTCGGCTCGGTTCGGCTCGGTTCCGCTCGGCTGGGAGTGTGGCGTGGCTGGGGCGTCTCCCAGCCATTGCCAGTGCTGTCCATGCGACGGTCGGTCATCGTCGCTGGTGCTGCCTCTGGCACGGCTCGCAGGTCCCGGCTGTCGCCCCGTCACGCTCCCAGACTGGACTCCGCTCCACAAATACCCGGCGAAGGCAACAGGCCGGCTGTGGCAGATCTAGTCGCCACCTTCAGTAATTCGGTGCTGGTCGATCCGGTCAGAAATCTCTTTAGTTCTCGGCTATGGTAAAAGGCCCCGGGAGTGTCTCGAAGCTGGCTACTGCTTGCAGTGTTAGGGTGCAGGGCCCGGCCAAGGACCTGCAGAGGACTTGCCGGCCCTGACCAACCAGCGCTGATAAAGCTGCGCCCGACCAACCTAACACCTACTGAACCGGGAAGAGCCGCAACTGAATCCAAACCTAACAGCGACTGAACCCGGACATAGCCGTGACTGAATCCAGACCTGGCAGCGACTGAACCCGGAAGAGCCGCAACTGAATCCAGACCTAGCAGCAACTGGGCCCAGACGTAGCCCCGGCTGAATTTAGACTGAGCAGCGACTGAACCCGCACTGAGCCCGGCCGGTTTTGCCCAGGCTCGCCCAGGTCGGGACCGAGTCTGTCGGAGCTTCCCACCTGTTCTGTGGACGCCCGCCACCGTCTGGTGCGCGATCGTATCCGACGGGTATTTCCGGCTGTCGGCTGGCAGCACGTGAAGTTTTTCACCAGACCGCCTCGCCCGTCACATGCTGGCGTGAATCCATGGAGAGGTGGCTGTGTTGTGCGCGGCATTATGGATTAGCCAGCTGGCCGGCGCAGCCAACGCGTCTCCCAATCGCATGGCTGGCAGCGTAGTACAGCTGGAAATGCTAATGGAAGCGCAATAAGGGCGCCACATGCAAAGCGGGTCGTGCGCCCGTCCCTGGCATACGTCAGGCCGGAATAAGTCCTACCGAAGTTGGCGGCGTGCGGCGTGGGCGTTTATCAGCAACCCGTTGCACGATAGAGCCGCGATTTAATAGCACACGGCTTGATGAGTAAGTGTCCCATTGCAGTCGCCCGAAGCACTCTTCTTTAATTGCTCGTGTAGTAGCGAACTTGCTGTAAGCTACCCAAAGCTCTTTTAGTCAGGGTCTCTTGGTTGCTCAGGTGACGACCGTTGGAATAGCGCCCGCGTGGTTGCCGTCGTGTCCTTCAGTGCAACTATCAGCGCTGGGTCGAGGCTGCCTGGTTGAGTCCGCGGAGTGGAGTGCTCGCCGCTGCCTGTCGTCACGCCCGGATGCCGGTGTGGAGTGCTCGCCGCCGCCTGTCGTCACGCCCGGCTGCCGGTGTGGAGTGCTCGCCGCCGCCTGTCGTCACGCCCGGCTGCCGGTGTGGAGTGCTCGCCGCCGCCTGTCGTCACACCCGGGTGCCGGTGTGGAGTGCTCGCTGCCGTCACGCCCGGGTGCCGGTGTGGAGTGCTCGCCGCCGCCTGTCGTCACGCCCGGCTGCCGGTGTGGAGTGCTCGCCGCCGCCTGTCGTCACACCCGGGTGTCGGTTTCCAGGCTCGATTATGTTCCACGTGCGCCGTCGGCCGAGCGACTACCAGCCGCGCAAACGGAAGAAGATCCCGAGCCAGCCGGCCGTCGCGTCCGACGTGGACCACAGCTACCGCGGCCACGACGAGGCCAGCCTGCCCTTCCTGGAAGAGCTGAACGCCGACGGCACCGACATCCGACACGCGGCGCCCAGGTAACCGCCGGGGTGCAGCAGGCGCCGACATCCGACACACGGCGCCCAGGTAACCGCCGGGATGCAGTAGGCGCCGACATGCGGCACACAGCGCCCAGGTAATTGCCGGGGTGCAGTAGGCGCCGACATACGACACAGAATGCGGGGATGAGCCGAGTTGAGACATGCAGTTAACCAGACAGTCCGCCACGCTGGTAACGACAGACACCCGGCACATGCGCCCAGGTGGCATGGGCGGTCAGAGATCCGCTCAGCTTCAGCGTCCTGTCAACGGTAGATACCGGGCAGACGGCGCGCGGGTAGTCACTGACATCTGACCCACGGCGGCCAGAGGTTCGCTCAGGTCCAGCGTCCTGTCAACCACAGATACCGGCAGACGGCGCGCGGGTAATCACTGGCATGTGACGCACACCGCGTCTCCAAAACAGGAGGCGGTCTGACCAGACGTTCATCTGAACGTGTCGATGCGCCATGCCCCGGTACTCGGTGTCCCGATGCGGAGTGCCCGTCGCTCGAACCCCATCGTTACAGTGGTGCGGTCCTGTTCAGACTTACAGCACGTCTGTTGTGTGTGCCGGGCGGCACAGTTTCACGCGCGTTCACAAACGGCCTGTCGCCCAGCGCCAGCCACAAACAGCCGACGCCGACACGACACGGCAAACAGCTCGTCTCCGTCGCAGCGCCTGAGATGTTCCTGGCGTGTGACCTTCGTCCTCGCTGGGCCGCAGGCGCTACAGCCTGCGTCTGAACGTGACCGAGGTGGGGAGCGAGCGGTCGCCGCAAGCGGGCGGCCAGTGCCTGCAGCTGGTCGGCCACAACGTGCACCCGCGCCACTGCGTCATCGCGCACACGGAGGGCATCGTGACGGTGACGCCGTGCGGACGCGAGGCCGAGATCTACGTCAACGGACAGCGCGGCTACGAGACCACCATCCTGCAGGTGAGAGGACGGCGGCGGCGGGCGGCGCCGGCACTGCCGGATGCACGCGGCCGATTGTGCGCCGTGGAATGTGAGGGACATTGGCGATCGGACGGCTTTGCTGTGCGCGTGTGGGGCGGCGATTGCTCTCCGTGTTCGTCACGGCATGCCGTGGTCTGGCGCATAGCATGACATCACCGCTCCGTCGCCATCGGACCGCGGCTGTCCGCTGAGGAGCGTGCAGCGGTGCTCGGCGCTTCGGAGTCGCGCTAGCGAGCCGCCGCCGTCGGCGGTGTGGCCGTGCGACGGCCGTCGCTGCCCAGCCGAGCCTGGTGGGCGCTCCGGGACTGGTCTGGTGGGACCCCGCCACCGCCGCCGCCGCCGCCGCCGCCGCCGCCGCTGGCCGCCCTTTAAATCAGCGGCGCTTCTGCGAAGCCAAGCTCGGTAATTCTGGCTGGCCGGGCGGCGTCGCCGGCGCGGTGTGGGCGGAGGCACTGCGGCGGGCGGGTAAAGACTCCCGGCGTGGCGCCGGGGCCCGCGGTGCGGGCGGCCGTGCTCGCAACGGCGGAGAGGCCAGCTGGTGCCGGTCTGGGCCGCTCGTGCGCAGTCGGCGTCACTGGCGCAGCACGGGCAGTCTTTGGTTACTGGCTGGAGGGCGGCCCACACCTGTGGATCACCCCTGACCTTTCTCGGGCCGTGACCCTGTGGATCAGCCCTGATCTTTCTCGGGCCGTGGCGGGCCGGTGGCCGCACGCTTATGGATTCGTTCCAGCAGGGCCAGGCGAGGTTACAAGCTCGATACATCGAGTGGCGGCGTGCCTGATGTCGGTAGCCATGGCACCAGAGTAGCCGGTGCGCCGTAAAGCACAAGTCGTTGTCATCATAGGATTGTTGGCTTCTCTTTCATGGGATGCCTCCAATGTCCGCGATCCGGTCAAGGTCATGGCTTGACATTGAGCTTCAGGCTGTTGGCCAGCGACGGGCGCTCACCTGTCGGCTTTGATCCTTTTCACACTACGCAGAGTCATAGGTCCAGGCCGCGCAGACCCTGAACAACGGCCGAGACATTGACGTCTCTGCTATATCCGTTTAGCCCCTCTGCCTACACTGATAGCTCATTCACTTTGACTTGTGCTGAAATTCGGTGCTGTCGTTTGTCAGCTGTCCGGCACCGTGAGTTCTCCTGTCCTAGGTCGGTGGGACATCCCTGCATACCTTGCGGTGAACGAATCCCCTGGTGGCTGGACAGCGGATGGTGGCATTCGAGCCGGTTCCTTTTGCCACCGCATTGGATTGGTTTCAGTGCGGTATTCACCGGACACCCTCGCGCCCCAGGTGCGCTGGCACGAGCGTCGGTTTTGCGGCTCTACGTGGGCCTCATCTCGTGCTGGATGTTGTGTTTTTGCACCGGACACGTAACCAGAGCCAGCTGTTGTGGCGGCGGCTGATACTGTGACTCGCTCCCGCACATGTGTAGTGCGATACGACTCGGCATTTCGTAGCCCAGTAATGAAGGCGCCCCAAAGCCGAGTTGGTATCGGCGCGTCTCCGTGACTCGTGTGTGAGCTCATGTGGGCGTGCTATCAGGGCATGATTAGGCGGCCGGCGGAACGGCCACCGCTGGCTGAATCCGCCGAGCATGGTGTCCAATATCGCTGTCGGTACGGCTGGCCCGGCCCGGATGTACCTTGGGTCCGACAGCATCGCCTCCCGTCGATGGCCGAGCCGAGCTGGGCCGGGGCCGGGGCCGGGGCCGGGGCCGGGGCCGGGGCCGGGGCCGGGGCCGGGGCCGGGTTCGGGTCCGGGTCCGGGGTCGGGTTCGGGCTCGGGGCTGTGGACGGCCGGGCCGTACTGACCGCCGGCCCCTGACCTATCGTCGAAAGGATCAGCTGCGCGTGACTCACCGCGCCACAGCTGTGATCTGCTCGATCGCGTGCGCCGCCGCTGCCCGGCAGACGGCGGCGCGCCGCCGGCCGGTCACCGTCGCCGCTGCTGGCGCCGCGTGCACGGAGAAAGCGGGTACAGCGAGCTGGCGGTCCGGCCTGAGGCGGGAGGCGCGCTCGGTGGGACACGTGACGGCCTCCCCTCCGATCGGCCGGGGTGATCCGCTCGTGCGCGGGTGCTCCAGTTGGGACCTGTGCCCGCCTCGCCCCGTGGCATTCCGCGCTCGCCGATCGCCGCCGCTGGTTCCGGGGCGCTGCGGTACATCCACGGCGCCTCAGTGCGGAGCACCATGGAAATGGTACGACCGGTGACTGGTGTCTGACCGTGCTGGTATGCCGCACTGCGTGGTGCGCGCCTGTCACCCAGCAGGGCACGTGAGGGCTGGACGTGCCCGTCAGCTCTCGCCGCTCTCCGTGTCTGTCGCCAGCTGTCACACGGCGATATGTTGCAGTGGGGTTTGGCCGTTACCGCGCCTCGTCGTCGGCTCTGGTGCGACGACTGGGCGTGGGTTAGGCCCGTTGCTGCTTAACTGAGCCAGGCGATTTGGGCCATAGGCTAACGTGTAATTGTGCTGAACATTATGGCCACTTTGACGAATACTCGTCAGTGGCATTTCTCTCAGACCAGTGCTCCAAGTCGACCCAGTACCCACTGTTTCAATATGTACAGATCCACGCAGGACGGTGATGGCCATCCAGCGGCCACTGCTCACCCTCTCCAGTCACAGCTGACGAGACCGCTCGGCCGTCCTCTCCTGCCGCTGCCCATCCTCGCCCGTCACAGCTGACGAGACTGCTCGGCCGTCCTATCCTGCTGCTGCTCACCCTCGCCCGTCACAGCTGACGAGACCGCTCGGCCGTCCTCTCCTGCCGCAGCACGGCTGTGTCGTCCAGTTCGGCCGCTTCTACCGGTTCCGGTTCGTGGACCCGGCGCATGAGGAGCAACGGATGCGCGGTCGTCGCGACGCGGCGCGCAGCCACGAGCCCTACATGGAGAGGTGAGCCACCGCTGCCGCCCGCGTGGCGGCGCTTTCGGTGTGGCTTTTGTGGGCTGTACTAAGTCATACTTAGTCTGTGTGCCAACTCGTAGTTGTATCAACGTAAAGTTTGTATTCGGGTGTGTGTGAGTTGCTTCTCGACCGGCTTGAGCTGATTGTTTAGTACTCAGCGCGTTCGTGTAGGCTCTACTAACTGGTAAGGTGTACTTCAGTGATTGTTTCAGCGCAATGACTGATGTGTACACGACGGTCACTGACCCGCTTAGTGACTGTGCTTGCTGCTTGCTGCTCGCGTGATTGTTGCGGTACGTCGTGGTAGCTCCGCGTTCCCCTGCTGTCACATTTCACGTTGCATCTCGTGCTCTGTGTGTTGTGGCTGTGCTGCGGTGGCAGTGCCGCGCCGCCCCGACCCCAGCCGCCGGCAGCGGGACCCGCGCGCCGCCCTGTCCCGCTCGCTCGCCGCCTGTCCGGCGCCGGGGCCGCGCCCGTGTGACGCCGCCGCGCCTGCCGCCGTAGCCACGGCCCGAGCCGCCGCGACAGCATGGAGACGACGTTCGATGTGGCCGGTAACGTGGAGACGCGCTCCACGGCCAGCCAGCGGCACCGCGACCGTGACCGCGACCGCGACGAGACGGCCAGCCAGCGCTCGGACGGCAGGTACGGCGCCGCAGCGCCGGGCTAGGGGCGGAACTCCCGGCGGGCAGGCTGCACGGCGAGGCGGACTTCAGGCCGAGCTGTGAGCGGACTCGCTCCTGGTGTGGCCGAGTCCGCTGTGCCGGTGGGATTACGTGGTTGTCTCGGGGAGTCGACCTCCACACGCTGGTAGTGGTTGGTCGGCTGCATGCGATGCTGCGTACGGTGGCTCCCAGGCCGTTTGGGACACACACGTCACGCGACTGCCAATCTATCCACGCTTAGCCCCAATGGCCAGTCGCTGTCTTCAAATTTGAGCGGCGCTGGCCACCGAGCACGGCCGCTGGCAGCATGTCGGGCACCGAGCACGGCCGCTGGTAGCATGTCTGGCCGTTGCGCGCGCTTGCTGGCGCTGTCGAGCTGCCATGCCGGCGCCGTGTAGCGCGGACGGTGTCTGCCCGTGCCGACAGCGTCTGGTGTGGGTGGTGTCTCGCCGGGCTGCGTGCTGCGGCGCCTCTGTCCCTGGTCGCCGGACAGACCGAGCGGCGCCATCTGTTCATGTCTGACATGTTGTCCGGTACCTGAGGCGGTAGCGGCCCAACCACAAACAACAGCGGCGTCGCCACCGGCAGCATCGCCGACACCGCAACATTGTCGTCATCGCGGTCGTCGGCCGCAGCTCCCTCGCCCTGTTAGTTGATGATGACGCGATATGAACATCACGTACCCGCGGTGACAACGGCAAACAGACGAGGTCGTAAGCCGCTGCTTTCAAAAGCGGCCGTCGTAGCCGTCGCGGTCCGTCGGCCTGCGTCTGACGCCTGTCTGGCGGGCAGGTCGGCCAACTACGCCAGCTTCCGGCGCGGCAGCGACCCCATCCTGCCGGCGGTGCTCGAGTTCCGCGAGGAGACCGAGGACGCCTTCCTGCGCGCTGTCGTCACGCGCCTCGACCCCAGCAGTCTGCAGTTCAAGCTGGCGCCCACCTACACGCTCTACATGGCCGCCAGGTGAGCTCGGAGCGGCCGGGCGGCGGTCTGTGCGGCGGCTTGCCGTGTACTGCAGCCGAGGCGTGCTCGCTGAAAGCCGGCCAGGTCGATACATGGGCCAGTTAACCTCGCAGGCGGTGGCTGTCGTGCCGCGGCGCCGCAACAGGTCGGCCTCTATTCCGCTTGTTAGTGGGCGAGAGTCCCCCGGGACGGCGCGTGCCGTGCAGACGTAGCATGTGTTGGCGGCGCGCCGGGGCTGATGGGACGCGTCCGGGAGGTAAGCCGGCCGGCGCGTCACGCGGCCGGACGGCGGCCGGCGGCCAGCGGCTGTATCGCCGACACAACCTGAGGCGTGCGGTGGCGTGTCGCCAGGTTTCGGGCCAGCACGCACTACCGTAGCGACCTGACGCCCAACGAGCGGGCGCTGCGGCTCACCAACGTACTGGCCAAGGTGTCCTCCATGATCCGTGACGTCATCCAGGTGAGCGCGCCGGCCCCGAGGCGGAGGTCGTGTGACGTCATCCAGGTGAGCGCGCCGACCCCGAGGTCGTTTGACGTCACCGGCGGTAGTCGTCAGCGGTCCGGAATCGGCCACCGTTGCATCACCGAGCTTTGGTGCCTTGTGTTGGAGTATTGGCTTTCTGTATCATACGCTGCTGCTCTGCTTCCGTTAGTTTTGCCCTCATCGTTGATCCATGGTGACAAAGAGAACTTGTCTTGACACGCGCTTTTCATTACCTAGGTAAGGACGGCTGAAGCCGTGAGCGCTCGCTGGCTCCAGTTAGCTGCTGTTCACAATGCGCCCACGCCTCACGTGACGGCGTTCGCAGATGCGCCGCACCGACGCCAACTCGCTGGCGTTCTGGATGGCCAACGCGTCCGAGTACCTGCACTTCCTCAAGCAGGACCGCCACGTCAGCGCCTACAGCCGTGACGCCCAGGACATCCTGGCGGAGAGCGTGCAGTCGGCCTTCTGGTGAGTGGGCCGGGCCGGGGCGCGGGTCTGGCTGTGCCGCCGCGCGGCGTCCACGGCAGCCGGCCGCCACTCGCACCCCTCCGCCCCGCAGCGGCCGAGCGTGGGCAGATGACCTGCGGAGGCGGCAGCCTGTCGGCATAGGTCCTGTCGCTGCACGATGGAGAAGACCAGCGAGGACGTGAGAGGGTCGCTGACGATCCAGATAGCGATCGGCGTGGTGCCGGCGCGTCCCAGTTGGCCGGGCGTGACCGGACGGTGTGCGTGTCGCAGGTACTTGGTGGACAACGTGCAGTCGGAGCTGTCCAGCTCGATCGGCCACTTTCTGAAGGACCGCGACGACTCCAACGAGGAGGAAGGCACGACGGCCGAGGTGCGTACGTCCGTCCAGCCCGCCCCAGTGCGCACGCCCTGGCTTTGCTCTCACTCTCTGGGGGGGGGGGGGGGGGGGGGAGGTGCCCACGGCTGAGGTACGTGTGGACGGTGCTCTGGTCCAGTGGCGCGCCTGGGAGATATCCCGGCCATGGGGCTTGCGACGAGGAGGCTCTCAAGTCGGGGCACGTGCGTAGGAGGTGGGAGCGGCTGCCCGGGCGTCGCCGTTGATGACGCACGCGCTGTGACTGCCGAGCCGCGCTGGTGGCCGACGCTGGTCGGTGGCCGCCGGCAAACCGATAGACCCGAGCTCCGGCCGGTTGCCAGGCTGGATCGCCGTCGCTGTCCGCTCTCCCGGTGTCTGTTGTGACCCTGTCCCGCGCAGGTGTAGCCCTGTGGCGCGATTGTGTAGCCCTGTGGCGCGATGGTGTGACCCAGTGCCGCGCTGGTGTGACTCTGTGCCGCGCTGGTGTGACCCTGTGGCGCGATGGTGTGACCCTGTGGCGCGATGGTGTGACCGTGTGCCGCGCTGGTGTGACCCTGTGCCGCGATGGTGTAACCCTGTGCCGCGATGGTGTGACCCTGTGGCGCCGGCGTCGCTTTCCAGGTGCTCAGCAGCCTGGGCAACACGATGGCGCTGCTGCGCCGCTGCCGCGTCAACGCGGCGCTCACCATCCAGCTGTTCTCGCAGCTCTTCCACTATATCAATATGGGCGTGTTCAACATGCTGGTCATGTCCGGCCCGGTCAACTACTGCAGCAGGTGGGCCAGCCTCCCGCACCGCTGAGCCTCCCACTCTCGGAGGAGCGGCTGTGTCACTGGCAGCGGCGCGCGCTCGGTAAAGCTATATTTGTCAGATGTGACTATTATTGGTCGACTGTAGCAAAACACACCAGGACGTTTCCGGTGAGGTTGCATTTGTACCGAACGGTATAAGCGGGAAAGCCTAAGCTCTTGGTTGTTCGTAATTCCGTCTGCTGTTCTGACGTCACAAGTAAGAAGTTCTTTGCGTGGGCAAGATAGAGCTTGGGTTCGTGGTTTTGCATTATGAAAGCCACGTTGGGAGCTGACTCAATACGCGTCTGTTGTGTATGGAACCAGCTCATTATGTCGATCCGGTCGTCCAGTTCCTCGTACGCTCAATGCCCTAATGTATGTTAATGTAGAGCACCGCGGGCAGCGGAGGCGTGCGTGATGGCTGTTGATCGTACCGGCTATCTCCGGCCGCGGGCTTGCAGCCAGGTGGCCAGCTACCGTATCAGGATGTAACCTGGATCCCGCCCACCGTTTTCTTGTTTTACGAGCTGGACGAGGATACCGTGCTATGTGTAGCGGCGTCGCGCCGGGTCGGCCGCGGCGCGCCCGCCCGGCCGCTGACGTGACGGCCGTTGCAGGATGTGGGGCGAGCGGCTGAAGCGACGCCTGAGCCGGACCGAGCTGTGGGCCGACCGGCAGGGTCTGGAGCTGGCCGCCGACTGCCACCTGGGCCGCGTGGTGCAGGCCGCCCACCTGCTCACCGTACGTCTCTGCCACCGGCGTCCCGTCAGCACGGCTGGGCTGGGCGGGAGGCCACCACGCACGAGCAGTTCTGTTGACGAATGCGCCGCTCTCAGTGTGCTATACGATGACTGCCTAAGCGATGGAGGAAACATGGCTTAGAAGACAGCTGTTGACGCATGGCGGCATTTGTTCTTTACCGTGAGAGGAGGTGGACCAATATCTCACTTTGAATGCCAAGGGAAACAAACCGTAATTCTAAGCGCCAAAGTTGCAGCGGCGTTGCCTGTTCAACCGGACAACTCGAAGCCGTCTCTGATTACTGCTGGTTAGTGTGTTGCGCGTGGTTGGCTTGAATCAACATCAGTTAAGTCGGTAGGTTAACCTGCGATTACAGTGCGCTCAAGAACGCAGTGGGTGGTGTTCAGCCCCGACCCAGCCGCCCGCGTGTGTTCCGTCTACGGCAGGTGCTCAGCTCTTAACATGGGCAGGAGAGGGCGACATGTGGAATTCAAATCAGCCAGTTAGAATGCACGGCCGCCGTGACGTCGTCGGGGATTTGGCGCGCACCGGGGCTTGTGGATGGTGTAAATGCGGCAGCTGTATGCACCGCGTCGTGCGGGGCGGACGAGCAGTGGCGAGGCTTTCGCCACCGCCAGCCGCCCGGGGCAGATTGGTAGCGCGGCCTAGCTGTTACGGATGTAAGGTGGGGACAAAAGAGCGCGCGTCAGTTTGAGACCTCAATGAACTGCCCCCGACCGATGGTTTGCGATGGTAAGCATCATCCCATCTCCTTATGGTCAGCTCAGTTATCCGCGGGCCGCCAAATCGCCAGTGACGTCACGGGACGGTGCGACCGCTGCAGTCAGATTGTGGCCGCCGCACCTGTGTGGGCCGGAACATCCGGTTGTCCCGCCTGTGAGCGCGGCTATCGACCTGACTCGTCCGCCATGCGGCTGCAGGCGCCCAAGAACAACGTGGATGATTTGACGGGCATCACCAGCACGTGCTACAAGCTGAACTCGCTGCAGCTGCGCGCTATGCTGGAGCGCTATCAGCCGGCGGCCGACGAGCCGCCGCGCATCCCACCCCAGCTCATCGACAACATCGTGCGGGTGGGTGGCGCGCCAGGCGGCCGGGCGCTGACGCCCGATGTGCCTATGGCGGGAGGCTGGGGTATCGCGCTGGCGCCCTGGCATAGTTGCCGTCACGTAGTTGATATAGCTGTCATTGCTGCAGTTGCTGACCATCTGTGCGGGTCTGACGTTATGGCCCGTGCTGTCACAGCCTGCTTTACCCAGTCTGTTAAGGTCAAATTGAGGAGCCGTATAGCTCGCCATTCGGCGTGTCGCGACATTGTTTCGCACAGATCAGCCAAAACTCCTCCACAATCGACATCGGTCGCGGTACCGACCGTGGTGCGGACGTCGTCGTCACGCCTGCCGATGGCGTCGGCAGATCGCGGAGAGCACCTCCGACGAGCTGGCGCGCCAGGACGGTCGCCCGGTGCGGCTGGAGGAGAGCCGCGACCTGCAGCTGCCCTTCCTGCTGCCCGAGGACGGCTACTCGTCGGACATCGTGCGCGGCATCCCTAACGGTCAGTGGGCGGCGCGGCCCCGCCGCCGGCGTCGTCGGCGCGCCGGCACGCCGCCTAGCTGGGCGGCACGTGCGAGCGACGGGCGATTGCCCCACCAGACGTGCTCCGCTGGTCTGATAAGCAGTGCAGTTATTGGTGTGCGGCACGGCGCAATACTGGGAAATGCCGCGGACCATTGAAATCTCAAAGCGTTGTTGAAGCTGGAAAGGTGGGATTATCGCCCACCTCAGGTGGTGAAGCGGTTGCCTGTTTTCAAACGGAAGCGGTGCCGCGGTGTGCGTTCTGTTGTGATTGCTGGGTCTATTCGGGGACGGATGCTGCAGTATGGCCAGTGACGCCCCACAGAACGGCGTGTGACGCGGGGCCGACGCCCAGCCGGCGCAACGTTCCCGTCGGCCGTCCCACCTGACGGCCGCCGCCTGCCGCAGGTCTGGCCGAGTTCATCGCGCCGCTGCAGCACGCCGGCCTGGCCCGCATGAACGAGCAGCCCACCAGCTGGGGCTACTGGACCATCTACATGGCCGGCCACGAGCAGACCCGGCCGCCGGTCAGTGCTGGGCCCGCTGGCCGTCGCCGCCGGCTCCGGCCGTCGTGCCGCGTGGCGCCGCCTCATCTGCCACCGGGCTGGGCGAGGGGGCGGGCCTCAGAGACAGACGCCTGCAGCGCCTGGCTGTGCGTGTCCGTGGGCACGATGGTGTGATGCTGTCGTCAAGCGGACGACGACATGAGGGCCGTGGGGTGTCGAGACGTCTGTTGTCTGATGCAGCTTATGTAGAACGAGAGGTAGCCGCGTTCAGGTGGAATTAGTGTCTTTCGAACTTTCCTGAAGTAAATTTGCGTCAGCACCACCAAGTCCGACATGTCACACGTACCCCGTCACTGCCGCGGACTGCGAGTGCTGTGTGTGTCGCCTAGTTTTGCGGCCGCTGTACGGGCCCAGGAGTTTCTAGCCCCGTATCACACCCCAGCTGAAGTGTAGACAGAGTGTCACGCGCCTCCGCCGCGTCTGCCCGTCTGGCCCTGGCGTCTCCGTGTCGTCGCACGGCTCAACGCCCCGTCGCCGCTCCCCCAGGCCCGCAGCCCGTCGGCCATGTCGAACCGGTCGATGGGAGCACGTCCGCTGTCGGGCGCCGGGCCGGGGCCAGGGCCCGGGCCCGGACCAGCCCCGGGCGCCACCGAGCCGGAGGTGCAGCTCATCAAGCTGCAGAAGTCCAACACCGGCATGGGCCTGAGCATCGTGGCTGCTAAGGTGAGACGGTCACGGAGGGCTTTGGCAGAGCAGTGGGCCGTCCGGTGGGCCGGCGTCCGCGGCCTGGAAGGCGGCGGACTGCTGGACGTTCGTGTTGTGTCGCATGACTGTGTGAAGTGTTGGAGGGGGGGGGGGGGGGGGGGGGGGGGGGGGCTGTTCATAGGGCGTCGGGCCGAGTCAGAGGCAGCAGCAGCGGTGCGTGTATGTGCAGCCGGTGGTGGTGACGGCGCTGCGGCACCTTGGCAGGGTCCGGGGCAGGAACAGCAGGGCATCTACGTCAAGTCTGTGGTGCGCGGCGGAGCGGCCGACGCTGACGGCCGCCTGGCCGCCGGCGACCAGCTGCTGGAGGTGGACGGACACAGTCTGGTCGGCATCTCCCAGGAACAGTGAGTGGCCCGCCTGCTCAGAACGATTTATCGGTCACGGGCAACTGCTGGTATTTAGACACGGACACCCACCGCCTGGACAGTCGTGCTGATGTGTCGTAGATCGGCTCTCACTAAAGGTTCATTTGTGTGTTGGAATCCATTCTCTGAGGGCCGCCTTGTATTCAAACAACATATCAGCCACACAAGCTCCAGCCAGTCATCAGTTGTGGCCATACCGTCGGTCGCTCCCCTCCCCGCCGGCCTCCCCGGTGCTGTCGCTCCGCTCCCCGCCGGCCTTCCCGGTGTCGTCGCTGGCTCCCCGCTGGCCTCCCCGCCGGCCTCCCCGGTGTCTTCACTGGCTCCCCGCCGGCCTCCCTGCTGCTGTCGTTGGCTTCCCGCCGGCCTCCCCGGTGTCTTCACTGGCTCCTCGCCGGCCTCCCTGCTGCTGTCGCTGGCTCCCCGCCTGCCTCCCCGGTGTCTTCGCTGGCTCCCCGCCGGCCCCCTTGGTGTCGTCGCTGACCGAGCTCCGTCGGCAGGGCGGCCGAGTATATGATGAAGACGGGCCCGGCCGTGCTGCTGCGCGTGGCCAAGCAGGCGGCCGTGCACCACCGGCTGACTGCACTGCTCTCCCAGCCATCTCCCACCATGTCACGAGGTCAGCCCCCCCCCCCGGCCCTGCTCTGTGACGGGGCGGCCGGCCCGCGCGCCGTCCTCAGGCATCGGTCGGACGGTGCGGACGAGTGCCACGGTCTCGGCCAGGTCACGAGGTCAGCCCCCCCCCCCGGCCCTGCTCTGTGACGGGGCGGCCGGCCGCGCGCCGTCCTCAGGCATCGGTCGGACGGTGCGGACGAGTGCCACGGTCTCGGCCAGGTCACGAGGTCAGCCCCCCCCGGCCCTGCTCTGTGACGGGGCGGCCGGCCGCGCGCCGTCCTCAGGCATCGGTCGGACGGTGCGGACGAGTGCCACGGTCTCGGCCAGGTCACGAGGTCAGCTCCCACCCTGCCCTGCTCTGTGACGGGGCGGCCGGCCGCACGCCGTCCTCAGGCATCGGCCGGACGGTGCGGACGAGTGCCACGGTCTCGGCCAGGTCACGAGGTCAGCTCCCACCCTGCCCTGCTCTGTGACGGGGCGGCCGGCCGCGAGCCGTCCTCAGGCATCGGTCGGACGGTGCGGACGAGTGCCACGGTCTCGGCCAGGTCACGAGACGGCGTGAGCTGCTCTCAGGTGTTCGTGGCGAACTGTGCGGACCCCCGGTCGAAGTAAGTCATGATGACAGACGGCGTTGTTTTGTGCTGGTGTGTACTTGTGTGTTTTTTCCGCCTAGTCACGCAGTGAACTGTTCAGTAAGGCAAACATTACTGGTTCCAACAGGTATGAACCACTGCCGTCTTGTTTGTGCGGGTCGTGCAAATTTGGAAAAGCTTTTGGTCGTACCAGACGGTAAATGTGATAGCCCAAGGAGCTGCCAATTGTTTCCCTCCCCCTCCCCCCTCGTGGTTGAAGGCGCTGGCATGGCACCTTACGCTCTCCGAAACTGTATTTAAAGCGAAGTAAGAATATTGTAAGCGTAAAAGTACAACGCGAACCTGAAAAATATACTTACAACGTGTACTTGCAGTATAGAAGAGGGTATGGTGCTTGGCATGAAGAGTTTCCCGTGCATTAGCTTGGAGGGGCATTCAACGTCCCCTGTTAGCTTACAGAGGGTTCGTTGCTCGTCGTCAAAGATCCACTATCGGCCTACAAAGGGCTGGTGCTGGCCTTCGGAATGGCCTCCTTCCGACTTGCTGGTGAAGCGTTGATGGCTACTGAAGAGACTGCCCGCGCGCTTGTGAAGGGGCCTGTGGGAGTGTAACGGTCCCCATTTGTCTATAATGATGTCCATACCGACCCGCAAATGGCACCCGTCAGTTTGGCACGAACGCCGGTGACAGCAGGCAGTATCCCTGACGGCTGTGACTGGTTTTCATACGAGCAGGCACGGTCTGCTGCCCAGTATGGACCTGTTCTAAAGTTTGTCGGGAAAACGTTTCAGAGACCGACAAGGAGCTATGGTTGACTCGGTGTGATCCTGCCCAAACAATGGGTGAACCTGAATATGGACAGGTGTTTTCTTTTTGTCAGATATTCGGCCTTCTTCAATGAAGTTCAACGTTCGACCCCCTCCGAGCGGGGCAGCCTGACACTGTCACATCTCCATACGCACTGCTCTGTGCATGTGTCCCCGTCCGTGCCGTGACCCTGTCCATGCCGTGGCCCTGTCCATGCCATGGCCCTTTCCGTGCTCTGGCCCTGCCCGTGCTGCGGCCCTGCCCGTGCTGCGGCGCTATCCATGCTGTGGCCCTGCTCGTGCTGTGCCTCCACCCGTGCTGTGGCCCTGTTCGTGCTGTCTCCGCCCATGCTGCGGCCCTGTCCGCGCTATGGCCCTGTCCGTGCTGTGGGACGTCCAGTGTGCTGAGCCGCGGTCGTCGTGATCGTTCATGTTGCGGCCGTGAGGGGGCGTGCACGGTCGTGACGCGGCGCTGGCTCGCCGTCCGCAGGCAGCCGCCGAGCCAGCGAGCGGGGCGGCATGCCCCCCAGCGGTAGAATCCAGGGCGCCAAGTCGGTGCCGGCCCTCAGCTGTAAGTACCGACCATGCCCGACGACCGGTTTCTTTGCGCGTGGGGAGGTGTTCGTGGACCGACTGGTGCCTTTGGTTGAACTCACGGCTTTGTCTGGCGGAGTGGTGGGGCTTCTCCCCCGTCATTCACGGCAAGGGAAGACGCTGTGACGAGTAACTAAAAAACCCCAGTCGTTCTCAAGGTCGCTCATGCCTGCGGGCCACCGTCGTGTCAGCTGGCTGGGTGGGAGGGCGTCTCGTGCCGCTGGCCTGTTCGTCATCCCCCGCTGTGCGTGTGCCGCAGCCGAGGCGGCCGACCGCGAGCCGGCGCCGCCGCCTGGCCGCCACCAGGAGACCTACAACCCGGGCTTCAGCCTGTCGGCGTCCAACGCCAGCCTGGCGGCGCTGCCGACCGGCCACGGGCCCCCGCCGCCGGCGCACGCCCGCTCGCGCTCCGTGCAGAACCTGCACAAGCCGGCGGCCGGCGGCGGCGGCGGCAGCGGTCCGGCGCCGCCGCCGCGCCCCATCTCCGTGCATACCCACTACCAGCTGCAGGCCGGCCAGGGCCAGGTGAGAGGCGCCGAGCGTGACGCCCGAGAGCGGTGGCGGTGCGCGACGAGGTGGTAATGCGGACGCGATGCGCGCGGCGCGGTGCTCGTTTGCAGAGCGTAAGCTGTCTGTGTTGTGTGCGGTTCCGTTTGTGTTGTGTGCGGTTGTCATGCCAGATCGCCGACCCTGCGCACGATGCAGTGTGATCAGCTGATCTCCTGACGACCTCCCCGTCCGCGCGGCTGACCGTTGCCGTTTGCCGGCCGTGCAGATGGGGCCGCCACGGTCTGAGATGCCGCGCTCCGTGTCGGACCACGAGCACCTGCGCTACCGGCACCCCAGCGCCACCTACGGCAACACGCAGCCGGCGCCGTTCGCCGAGCAGCCGCCGGGCGGCCAGGACGAGCCGGCGCCGCCGCCTCTGCCGATGGGTGGCGCCGCCAGCCCGGCCGCCGCGCACTACGGCGAACGACCGCACGCCACCGGCAACGGCCCGTCTTCCCCGTACGGCGAGCGGCCGCTGCCGCCGCTCGGCGGTGCCGGTGGCGTGGCGCCGTCCCCCTACGGCGAGCGTCAGCCGCCGCCGCCGCACGGCGCCCACAACAGCGTGTCGTCGCCGTACGCCGAGCGGCAGCCGCCACCGGCGCACTTCGGCTCCAGCAGCGGGCCGCCGACGCCCGGCGAGCCGCCGCAGCCGCGGCTGCGCCACAGCCAGAGCGAGCAGGCCGGCTACGGCGAGCCGCTGCCGCCGCCGCCGGCGCCGGCGCAGCACGCCGCCCCCGTCGCCCGCTATGGCGAGCCGGCGCACGGCATGTCCGTGCGCTTCGAGGAGCCGCCACCGGCGCGGCCGCCGCCGCCACAGGACATGTACGGCGAGATGCTGCCGCCGCCGCCACCGCCGCCGCCGCCGTCCACACACCCGCTGTACGGGCAGCCGCCGCAGCGGCCGCCGCCGCCCGAACACCAGTCGCCCTACGACGCCGGCAACCCCTGGAACCGGGAGGAACGTGAAAAGGTGGGCGCTGTGCTGGCCGGTGGTCCATGGCTTGTGTGCAATGGCATATTTGACGTGATGACATGGTTTGTGACATCACATGGTACTTTGGCGGGACAGAGGGGGCGAGGAGAGGGGGAGGGGGGGGGGGCATGTCCTTGCCCCAAGGCTCAGGAAAGGTAAAACATGTTCCTGGGGATGACTTGGAAGAGGCAGGGCTTTCTCGTTGTAGGCTTAGTTTCGCGTAACTACCCCGCTCCAACTGCGGCGTTCCGTCTCCCCAACTTGGTGTTGGATTGGTCCATGTTGCCATGACTCGCATGGCGGCAAACGCGCTTGTCTCTTGAATGTTGGCGTGATGGGTCCACACGTGCCGTGCTCTGCGGGAGTCCCCGTGCCTCCGACCGCCTTCGTCGCGGGACAGCTGTCAACTAGGGCATCGCTGGGCATTGCAGCACAACCTGATACGCTGGCATGTGCTGAGCTGCGTGACGGGCGTGTTGCGGCCGCCGTCCGTGTGGCCCGTCTGACGTGGTGCTGAGCGGTCCGTGACCGGCTCCGGTGCGCCTGGCGCAGGAGATGGTGCGCCGGACGGAGGCGGCGCGCCAGTGGCGGGACCAGCACATCGCCCGCCTGGAGGCCATGCCCAGCCGGTCGCGGCGCGAGCAGCAGCAGCTCGACACACTGCTGCTCGAGAAGCGCTTCCAGCAGCGCATGGAGTTGGCTGGCGATGACGAGGACGAAGACAACGACGACAACCTGGTGAGGCGAGCGTCGGCGCTGCGCCGGCGGGTCGGCGGGGCTGGCCGGCGGACCGGCGGGTCTGGCCGGCGGGCGGAAGGCGGAGGCACGCACCGGCCGGTGTCGTGATAATTACCCGTCGACGTTCAGCCAGTGGCCGTGTTCCTGGTGTGCTGTTCTTTGTTGCCATAGTTGAGCATGGGCAGACTAGGCTTCTTATAAGTTACCTTTCTCTGAGCCGATTCGTGCTTAGTCGTACACAGAACGCAATGACCGCAGATCCATGCAAAAAACTAACAAGCCCAATTAGTATGACTATATTCGAGATGACAATCCCTCATCGGGTGACTAACCACGAATCTTAGATCCATCAAGCACAATAAATTACGATTGTGGTAGGAGTTGGCTGAACGCTACATTTCCGAATGTACTGAAACCCACTTCTCACTGTAGGGCAGACTATCCATTTTCTGTGGACAGTGTAAGAAATGTCAAGCACACCACCATATCACAAGAGCATGTGTACATACACGAAATACTCCAATACACCCGACATAACATCGCGGGAAAGTTGTGATGTTCATATAATCTCTATGCTAGGCCCGTTGTTGTCACAGAAGAGGCCAGCCAGCTAGGTTTTATTCATCCTGTCATCCAAAGGCAAAACCTGTCATGTTTATTTTTGGCCATTTTGCGTTTTTGTCGTCATTTAATTGATCTTCTCAAACTGAATTCTGCTATTTTAGCCATTAGTTAAAATTTTCACAAGCTTTTACTTAAAGCGTTAAAAGGTTGTCAAAATGTCAACTAATAACTTAAATAACTGAATTCAGCTTGAGAAGACCAGTCAAGTGACATCAAACACTCAAAATGGCCAAAAATTAACATAAGGGGTTTTACTTTTACCTTTGGACGGCAGCATGACCGGTTAGTGCCCCGAGTAAGTGTGGTTTCTTGAAATTTTCGCCCGACATGGCCATGGCACTTGAGAAATATTTTCCCACAAGTGAAACATCAGGAAGGGCATCAGAACCATGGAGAGCACGGAAGCGAAGTCCAGTGAGGTTGCTGATGCCCTTTTTAAAGGCGGCGCGGGGGTGGTGAAAAACGTTCTCTTACCGGGCGTATTCACTTCCCCACGTGGGTGACAGGGCAGTGTAGAGCTGACCTCATGACCCAAGTTACACGTCGCGCAGGTTTATCGAAGCCACGATAGGATAGTGTACGTTATCTTGGTGGGTTTGGGTTCAGTCGTTCATCGATTAAGGCCAGACAGGCCAACGAAGGATGGTCACCCGAAATATAAGAATACTGTTTGGGCCTATGTGTTTTGTTTGTTGTTGTTTTTTTTGCACTTTATCGAGTCTGCTGTCAATGTGTTCTGTGTATGACAAACTATACTTATGTCGTTCTCGAACGGTGATTGTGTCTTGATCCTGATCGGGCTGAAGCGTGTCGGTAATGTGCCGCGACTCCCGGCAGCGGGGCCTGACGCGCTCCTTGACCCGGCAGGACCTGGACGAGTCGCGCGCCGAGTCGGAGGCGCCGCCGCCGCCGCCAGTTGAGCCGCCACGTTCGGAGCCGGAGCGGGCGCGGCCGCCGCCGCCGGCCGCCAGCCGCCAGGAGGAGGTGCGCCGCCGCCAAGCCGAGCTGGAGGCGGCGCACCAGACCGAGCAGGAGCTCCTACGTGAGGCGGCGCGCCGCCGCCAGGAGGAGGAGGAGCGCGAGCGGGCGGCGGCGGCGCGGGCGCGCGCGCAGCCGGCGCCGCCGCCGCCCGGCCGCTCGGTGTCGTTCGGCGCCGTGACGGCGGCCGGCGAGCTGCGGCCGCCAGCCGTGCCGCCCAAGCCGGAGGTGGCCGTCGCGTCTGTGGTGAGCACGCGCCGCGTGCAGCTAAGCGAGCCGGCCTCGCCGCCGCCGCCGCTGCAGCAGCCGGGCGCGGCGCGCGAGGACCCGGACCGCTTCCTGGCCGAGGCGCAGCAGATGATGGCAGGGTCGACCGTGACGCCGCCCGTCTCGGCCGCCGCCGCCACCGTCGACATGGTCTGGACCCCAGGTGTCATCGGCGCCCAGGAGGTGTACAGGTCAGTGGGGGGGGGGGGGGGGGGTCAGCAGGCTACAGCGGGCCAAGCCTATTCATGAAAGGATAGTGTACAGTGTCTGGGGTGTATCGATGATCAAGCATGCATCGGTCCGGCCTGGACTGGATCTGCGTGTTGAAGCGTACGATGGTCGACTCCAAGCATGCAACTCTCAAGCATTTGTGGTGGCACACGCCTGAGCACTGCGCCGCAAATCGCCAGCGTCATCCGTGACGATACTGGCGGACTCTGTCGGCCGTCGGCACCGTGCCGTGTCAATGCGCCGTCTCTGGGCCGGCAGGGACCCGCGCACCCGGCGGCTGGCGCTGCTGCAGGACCGCCAGCGGCCCGACCACTCGCCCGTGCCCGAGAAGCTCTCCTTCAAGGAGAAGATGAAGATGTTCGCCGCCGAGACGGGCTAGGCGGCGCCGTGTCCGGCGGCGGCCGGGAGCCGGGCCTGCGCCGCGCCGCGGCGGCCAGGCCGGTGGCGCGAGCTTTCGATGGACGCGACTAACCCGCGACAGCGCCCCGTCGCCGCTTTGTGATGAGATTGTTGGCGTCGCGCCGCGCCTGGCGACTGCCGGTCGCGCCCGCGGCAGTACATCTCCGTCCGTGTGAACAGCTATTTTAAAGCGCATATCATAGTCCCCTTACGCCGACAGGTTTGTGATGCCCGCGGTTGCCTGGTATGTAGTGTTTGTGCCGTCGCGCGCGGCGTTGTTAGCTGGCGTCGTGCGCGGTAGCGGCGGCCGGAGGGAGTCGTGACGCGCCCGAGATCATGTTTTATGCGAGCGCTGTGCACGGGGCGTGGCGGAATAGTCGGCCAATGGGCGATCTGTCCGGTAATTTTGCATGGCCGCGGTGCACGGCCGAGGCGGTGGCACCGGGCTGCGTCGGCTCGCGGCGTCCGCCGCCGCCGATCGTCGCCGGCCGGGTGATCGTCGACACGCCCGTCGGTGGGCGGCGCGCTCTTCCAGACCTGGCCGGGGTCTATCCGTCAACACACACGGTCTCCGTGTACAAACCGTAGCGTGTATAGGCGGCTGCCAGGCCGGCCGCCGCGCGCCCCGTAGTTGTAGAGTTCGGCAGCCGCGCAGCAGGCGCTGGGTCCAGGCAGCTGCGCCTGCCGCGCCCTGGCGGGCGCTGTGCAGAGGTGAGAGGCTGCTGCCGGCGATGACCGTCCGAAATATATTCACCAGAGGCCAGGTGTGAGGTGAGCGTCCGTGCCCTCTACGTCGTCCTCACGGCGGCCAGGGGATGATCCGAAGGCTTCGAGACCAGAGACTGAACGCTCGCCAGTGTATTGCTGCATTCCATGGTCTACATACAGCGGTACAAGCATTGACGCGGCGGCCCCGCTCGCCGAAAGACTTGTATTTCCCAACCGGGGCGCCTCGAAGCTGGACGTGCCCGGCCCCGGCCACCTGCGGATGGAGCCCACTTGGCAACAGCCGCATGGTACTGTACATATCAAACACGTCTTATGTAGCCCGCTCTAACAGGGATCGCTCGCGCCGCGCCAGTGTACATCCAGGGCGTCTTGCGGGCGCCACGAATGCATAAACCGAGCAGGCAGTGGAGGCGCGGGCCACTGCAGGCCTACGGTCGCCCAAGGGATGCGCAACCCCGCGACCAGGAATATCTTGCTTCGCCTTATGACTTACAATAATGTCCGGGGATGCGGGAAGATAGGCTAAGCTAGCCGACGTGCTGCCAGTCGGGACTGTTCGCAGCGAAACTACCGTCGTGCAGCAGCTTTCTACAGTCCGGCATCCAACCATGTACACTACACACAGCACATCACAGCACCCAAACTTACAGCGGGACGCCTCCGCGCCACGCGCGTCGTAAACGAACGCCCACAGCTTAAAACCACAATTACCTTACGATAACCGCGCATCGGAAATAAAGACCGGTCAACTTAAAACCATCTTATCTTAACGAAAGATAGCAAAGCAGGGTCCCTAGCGTGGTCCATGTGACCGCGTACATAAATGGTCCGAAACTCGTTCGGAAAATGGACGTACATGTTCCCAGCGAAGCTCCAAGAATGGGAGCGGGGAGCTGCGGCTACTCTCCACTCGCTGGACCTGGCATCACGGGCCCGGCTCGACCAAAAGGCGGGACAGTTTTAGCGGACCATCACTCACGACAGGCGAGCACAGCTTTAGGTATACACAATCGACCACTAAGCTCGCATTGAATTGGGATATTCGTGCCGCTTTCTGCCTGCAAAATGCTTCCAGTGGTTTTCACGGACCTTTCTGTTAATTTTAGCAGCGTGGCGCTGGACCGTTTTTTGAATGTTTTCTTGGAAGCGAGCGTTGGCCTGCATAAGGCGTGCCACCCTGGCGGCGTGGTCTCCGTAGTCATCGTCATCATCGTCCCAATCGTCATCGTCGTCATCCAGCGCCTGCCAGTCGCCGCGCTGACGCTGTCGCTCCTCGCGCCATCTCTTGTCTGGCCGCGGAAGCTCTTCCTCCTCGCCGCGCCGCCGGCGGAACTGTTGTCGCGCGCGGGCCCGCTCCAGCAGCCAGCTGCCGCCGCCGACGCGCTTAGCGCCGCGACGCTCGGCGCGCGACTGCGCCCGGCTCAGCTGCCAGTTGGCCGGCTCGTCCTGCTCCTGTTGGCGGGCGCGGTGCCGGTGGCGCGAGCGGCGTGCGTAGAACGCGGCCACGGACGGGTCGGTGGCGTTGGGCGGCGGTCCCGGCGGCGGGATGACCACCGGCTGCGCGGGCGCCGAGTGCGGGACGCCGCCCGCCTCCTTCGCCTCCACCTTCTGGGTCCAGCGCTGCCGCATCCGCTGCCACTGGGCGTCCAGCCTGGCCACCACCTTGTCTACCTTCCTGCCGAGCTTGGCAGCCACCTTCTCCGCGCCGCCGCCGCCCTCGGCGTCCTCCAGTATCGCCTCGCCGAACTCGCGCACCTGCTTGTAAGCGCGTAGAAGTGTCTTCTCCACCTTGGCCATTGTCTTGCCAGCCATCTTGACGTATTTGCTGGCGGGCTCGGCGCGGCTGAAGTCGGTGGCCTCCTGCCAGAGGCTCCAGAGGCGGCGGCGGGCGCCCTGCAGCGGCTCGCTGTCCTCAGCCGGCCGCCAGCCCAGCAAGACCGACAGCAGACCGCCCTCGTCAGTCGACGACTCGTCTTCCGTCTCCTGCTCCTCCGAGGAGGAAGAGGAGGACGAGGTGTCGTCGACGGCCGGAGAGGTGGTCGAGTCGTCCGAGTCTGGGGACTTCAGTACTGCCGGCCCAGCCTCCTGCAACGGAAGTCCGGGTCGTCAGCAGCGCAGGCATTAGCTGAATCATTAATGACCCGAGTCATTAGCGGCGAAGACTCTCGAGTCATCAGTGGCGGAGACTCAGCAGCGACTCCACCGCCCATGTTGCTGGGGCTGATGACGTCACCATGTGAACATCAACGGCATCGTCGGTCCTGACTAATAGCTTCTGCCTATCACAGCAGCTGCCAGAAGTGAACACCGACCAGCATGGGCCGTCCGTCGCTCCCCCGTACCGTGGCGCCGACCAGCCCGGTCACATTACGCGCAGATTCACATATCCATGCCTGCGATCCCCGTCCCCCACACCCGACCCCCCTTTCTCCCACGATATCATTGGATCATCCCGATGGTCGCCGGGCGCGACTTCCCTTCTTTGAAGCGAGCCTCCTTAATCTGCTCGGTGGTCTGTCATTGGGGTGGCCTGTCATTGGCCTGTCATTGTCATCCGCTCCACTCACCGCTACATCACGCAGCACAGCGCCGCAACTTCCCACATCTGGGACCGTGCTCCCACGAGAAAAATCACCAGACAGGCAGACTGCTTCCCCAGCTGGCCTGGTTGTCCGGTCTCTCCGGTTACGGCACTGGACGGCGCGGAGCGCCACGTCGTATTTCCGTCTGACAGAACGTCACCTTCGCTGTGTGCGCGTCGAGTTCGCTCCAGTTCGGCGGCGTGAGTCACGCCTTGGACCGAGCTCGCTCCAGTTCGGCGGCGTGAATCACACCTTGGATCGAGTTCGCTCCAGTTCGGCGGCGTGAGTCGCGCCTTGGACCGAGTTCGCTCCAGTTCGGCGGCGTGAATCACACCTTGGATCGAGTTCGCTCCAGTTCGGCGGCGTGAGTCACGTCTTGAATCGAGTTCGCTCCAGTTCGGCGGCGTGAGTCACGCCTTGGATCCGTCAGTCAGTCAGTCAGTCACCGAGCCATGCATTGATCCAAAGCCGTTGTTGTCTGGTCATTCTCTGAATTACGTCTTCAGGCCGGACTTACCGCCCCCGGACTTAGATGTCTTGATTTCGCTTTAATTCAGTTGCTTTAAGCTCGGTGGACGGGTCTAGACACTAGCCGATCTCGCGTTTGTGGTCTTGATCTCGACTTTGACGGACATGGTTGTTCACGTTGTTGTTGACATTGGTGCTGTTACTGGAGCTAGTGAACTTGGCCTCGATGCACTCAATCTTGGTCCAGGTGAACCTTGGTTTGTTCTTGTTGGTCTTGGCCTCAGAGGGCCTAATCTTGGTAAACTTGGCCCGCATCCTGCTGATCTTCGCCTTGACCTTAGTTGGCTTGATCTTTACATTGATGGACTTGATTTTGGTCTTTGCCTTGATGGGCTTAATCTAGGACTTCGCCTTGGTGGACTTGGTCTTGGCGTTAAATGACTTCGTCCTCGGCTTGCTGAGCCTCTTCGCTTGACTTCTCGCTCGTGAGGGCCTAGCCCTGATGTCAGCCTCGCACCCGTCTCCGTCTGGCCCGGCCTGTTGTCGCCGGCGCCGCTGTCGGCGACAGCCTCGACCCTGCCTCGGCGCGGCTTCCCTCCCGCCTCCGCCCGTCCCCACTCCGCTCCACTCACCGCCCGCCCCTCCGTCAGAGGCTGCACGTAGCGCGTGCGGCGCAGCTCGCCGTTCTTCGCTCCACTCACCGCCCGTCCCTCCGTCAGAGGCTGCACGTAGCGCGTGCGGCGCAGCTCGCCGTTCTCCACTCCACTCACCGCCCGCCCCTCCGTCAGCGGCTGTACGTAGCGCGTGCGGCGCGGCTTGCCGTTCTCCACTCCACTCACCGCCCGCCCCTCCGTCAGCGGCTGCACGTAGCGCGTGCGGCGCAGCTCGCCTTTCTCCGCTCCACTCACCGCCCGCCCCTCCGTCAGCGGCTGCACGTAGCGCGTGCGGCGCAGCTCACGCGCCAGCTCGCCGTTCTCCGTCACCAGCTGGTTGATCTGGTCGCGGTGGCGGCGCAGCACGTGGCCGTCCTGCAGGGATGGACGCGAGTCAGTCGGCGGTGGGCGGCCACGGGCCCTGGGTCCCGCTGACCAGCGCCGACCGCGGGCTCTGGGTCCCGCTGACCAGCGCCGACCACGGGCTCTGGGTCCCGCTGACTAGTGCCGACCGCGGGCTCTGGGTCCCGCTGACCAGCGCCGACCACGGGCTCTGGGCCCCGCTGACCAGCGCCGACCACGGGCTCTGGGTCCCGCTGACCAGCGCCGACCACGGGTTCTGGGTCCCGCTGACCAGCGCCGACCACGGGCTCTGGGCCCCGCTGACTAGCGCTCACCACGGGCTCTGGGTCCCGCTGACTAGCGCTCACCACGGGCTCTGGGTCCCGCTGACCAGCGCTCACCAAGGTTAGATTATAAACTGACATGTGGCTCTTCGGGCGCACTGTTGTTCCCACTCTCCTCTCTCTGTTGGAGTCGCTGAAGAGTTATTAACAAAAACACTCTGTTCACCGTAATACCGATCTACTTCATTGAACCCTCCAGCAAACTTGTCGGAAAAAATATAAAAATCGGTATGACTGAAAACATTTCGGTCTATGATCTGCCTGACCCTAGATCTCTTTAGACCAGGTACTAACATGCTGACATCTTGTATCCAACTGATTCTTTAGTTATTGGATTCTCGGGGCACGTCAGCTACAAAGGTTACTTGCGCTCACATTCAACCAAGTTACAACCACGAAGCGGAAGCTCCGCTCTGAAAATCGTCACCGGATCGTGCCAATCCCTCAGCGCCTGAGCACCGTCCACGACACGCCGTGGTGCGGCAGCAGTGGCAGATCTGCTGACCGCGCTCACCTGAGACGCTGTCCCGTAGCGCATCTTAGCGATATTGGCCTTCAGCTCGTCGTTTTCCATGCGGAGTTGGTTCACTTGGTCGCGCAGACGGGCGTAACCTACACAGAACACCGAGCCGTGAGCGAAAACGGCGGAAGCGGCCGCGTGACTCTGGACGACACCACCCCAAGATGCGTGTCCCGCCGGACTCGAGACGCCTCCGTACACTGATGGCGTGACGCCGTCCACTGAGCCACGCCGCCTGAACACGAACGACATAGGGCACAGGGAACGAGGAGCGGCGCACTGCACGGTGGTCAGTCCGTTCCCGAAGCTCGCAGGCTCGCTACCCAACGGACGGGGCCCGGTTAGGAGCAGATCTACCGGACGCTCGTTGCCCAACGGACGGGGCTCGGTTAGGAGCAGATCTACCGGACGCTCGCTGTCCAACGGACGGGGCTCGGTTATGTAAGGATCTACCGGACGCTTGCTGCCCAACGGACGCAGCTCGATTAGGAGCAGATCTATCGGACGCTCGCTGTCCAACGGACGGGGCTCAGTTAGGAGCAGATCCACCGTCGTGACGTCACGGTTGGTCATCCACTGCGTTTGACCCAGTAGTGAGCAGTAGGTCAACATAATGGTGTTCGCATATGTAATGCAACGGGTGTAACGCAACTTGATTTGTCAATGGTAATTGGCGCGTATTTGCTTACAGCTGAAATGAACAGTGATCGACAACCAGGAAGCATCTACCGTCCAAATTGGCTCGTGGCATATGGAGATCTTCATGCGTCAATTCGGAATATTGCCTGGGACACTGTCTCTTGGGATGGGGATGATTGGGATACTACCTCTCGCGTCTAGCGAAGAAACGGGTTAGCTTTTGTCGAACAGCCGACAACCTCAGCCGTCAATCATCTATTGCACCGCAGTCGGGCAACCGAACTGGGGGCTACATGACCTCGTAGCTCTCTTCGCTTGAGCAGGACAAACAAATCCCTGAACAAGCCGCAAGCCGCAGGCAGCAACAACCACCGGACGTACAGCAAAAACCCGGAGATCATCCAGGACGGCGACTGCTGCTGTAGCAACATTTTTTTGCGTTTAACCTTAATGACGAAAGCCCAGACGAGTCTAGTGTGATACGCGGCTTCGCTTCCTATGCTTGTTGCGTCCCGACCACCCAGCATTCAGCGCTGCAGCACGGACGGCCACATGCCGCCATGACAGGTGACCGGAGGCTTCGACACCGCTCCCGCCGACCGCTGGAAGCCGGCAGCGCGGCTGGAACGGAGCCGGCCAACACGTCACCTTCGGAGCAGTGCGACGAGTCCGGACCGTCCCCGTCGTCACCCTGCAGCTGGTGCAGCAGCGCCTCGTTCTCGTTCAGCAGCTCCTTGATCCACTGCAATTGAGTCGCCCACGTCAGGCCGTTGCCACTGGCGGCTGGTCAACGCTGTTGGATACGAATTGTCCCATTCTGTGGTGACACTTCTCAGAGAATCAATGCTTCCCACGCCATGTGCCTTTGAGCCGACAATGCCACAAATCGGGAATGATCAGCTGATCACCAGGGTTGTTCATGATGGCCAGCTACCTGGCGCCCACCTACATCTGCCAACGGCTTACAACCCACAGCGTGGCCCACATGGTGACCACACTACACAGACGACGGCTGCTGAGCGGGATCCCCGCGCGCGGAGCGGAGCCCGGGGCGGCGGTGACCGGCGGTGACCGGCGCCGCCGCGCCGCCCGCCGCGCACCTTGTTGTCCAGGTCCTGGTCATCCTCAGTCGTCATGCACGTCATCAAGTCGTCCCGCAGCACGTCCAGCTTTTCGTCCAGCGAGTGTACGATCTCCTCCGTCATCTCGTGGTGGTGGATCCAGCCTGCGATGAGAGACGCCTTAGACTCGGTGGGGCAGTTGTGTGCCATCCCCCCTCCCATGTTCAGCCGTCTCAGAACAACGTCCGATGAGTGCTATCAACATACAACGCCATTGCTTCGCACTGACCCGCAGCTCCTTCCACTTCAGCGAGGGGGCAACGTTACATGAACACACAGCACAGCGCAGCCTATCGCAGCACAGCGACATCACACGCAAAGGACAAATGGCCATCACGTTCGTCATCTTACCGAGGAAGTGACCCACACCGAACCCGACGACGCAGGTGACGCAGAGCACCAGCAGCACGGTCAACAGGTGGTTGACGGCGTTGTTGCGCTGGTGCACGTAATGGCGCAGGCGGCTGACGTTGACCTCGTCCGGCACCATCTGTCGGCCAGCAGATGAATCTCGATCTGCGACGGCTGACGACACGTGACGCCACGAGACACGGCGATGTCGGGACTCCAGCGGCAGGTGGGAGGGCTATGGGACATTTATCTTGGGTCTGGAAACTTCACTTGGAGGATTGATTGGAGGAGGATTGATTCACTGGAGGCTTGGGCTTCGGCCCGCGCCCTACTGCCACCGGGGCATCTTCCTAATGTCCCCCATCGTTAGGGCTATCGACAGAAATGAACCCGCCGCGAGTCAACACTCAGGCGTCCAGATCTCGAAGAGTCGATGTTAGCAGCAAGGCGCTAGACAACTCGGCTCTCTCGAAGTTATCAGTTCGGGTCCGAAGAAGCGTACATTTCGTGGACGCACTTCCTTAAACGTCCGACGCCGGGGCCACTCCGCTCAGCCGTCCTTGGATGGTGTGGCAGGTCCCCTGGCCGCACTGTTCGTGCCGTGGCGCTCCGACCCGACGCAGTGCGCGCCTTAGGGCCCACCTGCTCCGGTTGAGACGAGAGGTCCGTGTCTTCGGCCCAGCGGTCCCGCTGGTCCGGGTCCCGCTGGACCGGGTCCCGGCGGCCCGGGTCCGGCTCGGCCCGGTCCCGCTGGTCCGGGGCCCGCTGGTCCGGGTCCCGGCCGTCCGGGTCCGGCTGGTCCCGATCAGGCTCGGCCCGGTCGCGGTCACGGCCAGGCCGGCGGCGCAGCACCGTGTCAGAGGGCAGCGATCCCAGCAGTTGGACGGCGGCCGCCTCCTCGTCCGAGTCTGGCGGCAGGACGACACCCCGTCCTCAGCAGAACGACACCCCGCCCTCAGCAGGACGACACCCCGCCGACACCCCGCCCTCAGCAGGACGACACCCCGTCCTCAGCAGGACGATACCCCGCCCTCAGCAGGACGACACCCTGCCCTCAGCAGGACGACACCCCGTCCTCAGCAGGACGACACCCCGCCCTCAGCAGGACGACATCCCGTCCTCAGCAGGACGACACCCCGCCCTCAGCTGGTCGACACCCCGCCCTCAGCAGGACGACATCCCGTCTTCAGCAGGACGACACCCCGTCCTCAGCAGGTCGACACCCCGCCCTCAGCAGGACGACACCACGCCCTCAGCAGGACGACACCCCGTCCTCAGCAGGACGACACCCCGCCCTCAGCAGGACGACACCCCGTCCTCAGCAGGTCGACACCCCGCCCTCAGCAGGACGACACCCCGCCCTCAGCAGGACGACACCCCGTCCTCAGCAGGACGACACCCCGCCCTCAGCAGGACGACACCCCGCCCTCAGCAGGTCGACACCCCGCCCTCAGCAGGACGACACCACGCCCTCAGCAGGTCGACACCTCGCACTCAGCAGGACGACACCCCGTCCTCAGCAGGACGACACCCCGCCCTCAGCAGGACGGACCGCCAGCGGTCAGCACGAGAGTGCCCGCCACACGCGGCAAGGCGGCGTGCGGACACCAGGCGGCGGCGGAGGCGGCGGTGGTACAGCAGCAACACGGCGGCGACGGCACGACACCCCGGCCGAAAGAGCGCGCGCACCAAGTCCGAGGCCAGACCGGCACCGCCGCGCAAGAAGCGCCAGCTGTCGTCGCCCCGGACGTCGTAACGGATCACCCAGTCAGCGGAGGCGTGACTAACGGCCGCTTCTAGCCCGTCACACTAGTGGAGTGTAAGGTAGAGCTTCAACAAGACACGGCTCATTTAGGGGGATTATGAGATCAGGAAGACACTAAGTGGCGGCAGACAACTGCTGCCCACTCGATGTAGCGGCGTTCGCGGAGGAGGGAGGCAGGTGTGCGCGCGCCGCTTACCGTTGGGGCACAGGTCCATCGGGTCATCCTCGAAGTACTCGTCCTCGTGATGCTCCCCCGGAATGACCTCGATATCCGAGCCTTCTTCCAGGCGTACGCGTTCGGCCCCGTCCGCCGCAGCCGCACCGCCGGCGGCGACATCTATGGAGCGGAATCGACACTAACTCGTCCGTCCGCGCCACACCGTCGCGCAGCGGACACCTCGCGCAGGTGGAGCGCCGCACGTGTCTGAAGGGCGGGCGCATGACGCACCTGAGCGGCGCACGCCCTCCGGCGGCCGTCAGATTACCAACCCAGCTTAGCTCAGCGCCCCACACGCTCCCACACGGCCCGCCAGCTGGCTAGTGCGCACATGGGCGGTTGCGTCATCGCAAACCCGTCGGTAAGGTCATGCACGGTGAGCCAAGCTGGCGGGCGGCTCGGCCCGCACGCTGGCCCCGTGCGATGGCGATATCGAGATGGCAGAGGCTGCAGTCACACGTCTCATACGCCGACGACGAGTGCGTGAAGAGACACGCCGGTTACGATAATACACATACAACAAAATCTTAAAATATATGTTTATGCAATCCATAGCTGCACATGTTATTTCACTACGCTTGGGCACAGTACATGCAAACAAAACAAACCGGACCCCGGACGGAGAGCACAGCGTGAGTCGCCACATTCCTCGCGCAGATCTGGCTTCACTGTTATGCTCACCGCAGCGTTCGACGACCGTGCTGTCCGAGCCCCCGCTGTGCGTCATCTCCTCCTCCGCCGGCGCCCCGTCCGCCCCGGCCACCCCCGCGACGGGGTCGCCGCCGTCCGCAGCCCGCGGCTCCGGCTCCGACTCCGGCGCGGCGCCGGCTCCGTCG